GAGAAAAAAAAAAAAAAAAGAGAGAGAGAGAGAGAGAGAGAGAGAGAGAGAGAGAGGTAGTTGGTCATTCTGATTTACAGATTGCACGCACACTCACAAGAGCTTTGTTTCCAATTCACATGCCACTACCACTACAACTACCACTACAACTACCTCAGCTTCTTTGCATGCGCCACCAAACTCTCAATGACCTGCTCAAACGCATCCTTGTCGCCAAGAGCGCTCTCCATGCGCTTCTGCCAGTACTCAAACACGAGCGTGGCGCGCTGCTGCAAGCCCTTGAGATGATCAATGTGCATGCGCAGCTCGTCGTCTGTGAAGCCCTGGAGCGCCGCGTCGGTTGTGGCGCACAGTTGGGCCGTGGAGCTCAAGTCGAGCTCAGGAGGCGGTGGCGGGCCTTTGCGCTTGCGCTCTGGGCGCGAGCCCGACGAGTCGATGGAAGTCGAAGACTCGTTTTCGCGCTTGACCCGCCCGAGTGGACCGCCGTTGTTGTGCGTGTGGTTGTTGTTGTTGTTGTGGCGCCCGTCTGACGAGGGCCGCGGCGACCGTTCGCCTGGAATGTGAATCGAGGGTAGGATAAGCTTCTTTTGCTTCGACGCCGGCAGGATCTCGTCTAGGTCGACCGGCACGCCCAGCGATACGAGGAACAGCCGTCGTATCCGCGACCGCACCCAGTCTGGTGGCTGCAGCGGTGGCGGTGCAACCAGCTGCGTCCACAGCGAGTGGCTGCGTTCCGACTGGAACATGGACCGCGTCTCCTCTGCGTTGGCCGATATGCTGGGAATCTCATGCTGCCCTGGGTAAATCTCCTCCAGGTACGGCTGTGTGGCTGTGGCAATGTCTTCAGGGCATGTGAGCCGGTCAAAGTCCAAGACTGGCTGTGCAAAGCAACCGTTAGTCAGCGTGTCACAGTAGCAAGCGGGCAGAGCATCCATATTAGCGGGCTAGAATTGCTGCCACTTACAGGACCCGGCGAAGGGGCAGGTACAGGAGCGGCTTCGGGGGGCTTGTCAAATGTAGTCTCTGCCTCGTGCTCGCCTTGCTGAAACCCATCGTCAAAGTCTCCAAAATCGTCGTCCCCCTCCCCGCCCTCTTCAAACTCGTCAAAATCGCCAAACCCATCGTCATCTTCATCATCATCGTCTGCTGCTGCTGCTGCTTCTGCTACTTCTGCAGTCTCGTCACCAATGTCGTCCTTGTCTTCCGTATTGTCCTTGTCATCTTGTGCCTCGACTGCAACGTCGCCTTCAGGCGCAGACTCGGCTGGGCCGCTGTCTGGATTTATCAAAGACCTGTCATGCGAGGTTGGTGACCCTTCTTCCGTCGTCAATGGTACGCAGGAGGCACCAACGAAAATGCCCTACGTACCTGGGTTGCTGCGCTGGCTGTCCTCAGGTGCTTTGATCACAATGTCGGGCTCCGCATCCGCCAGGCGATGCTGGTGTGCTTCGGTCCCCGGAATGTCACCGTAGCTAGGCTTGTCGGGGTCGATCTTCTCAACAATAGTCTTTGGAATTGGCGTGCCTCCGGGCGTGATGGGTCGGTCGCTGATGCTGACGCGGGACGCACTGCGGCTTCGCATGCCCTCTGGCACAATCTCAACCTCGTCGGGCACGGCGTCTTGGGTGCGCATCTTATAGGCCTCTGTGCCAGGCACCTCGCCGTGTGCTGGCGTATCGTCGACTCGCTCCACTCGCGTCGTGGGGATGGGCGACGTCAATGTCGATCGTCTAGACTTGCCCTCCGAGGCATCGGAAAAGTGCTCGTCACTTGACTCGGCTGCATATCTAGTGTTAGACACGGGCTGGCCAGGCGGCAACATTCGTGTGACGTACCCAGCTCCTTCGCACCGGGGTCCTCCAGCTCTACGCTCTTGCGGGGCGGTGCCAGCTCGTTCGTCATGTCGACAGCCGCTCGGTGCTTGGTTGCTTTTGCACGTGGATGCTGAGGCGGGATACGGCAGAGTTGCTTTGGGTGCAGCTGCGAGGAGAGAAGAAGCAGAAGGGCGAGGAACAAAAGGCTGCGCCTCCTTGCTTCAGAATGCCGTCGTGGAGTCTCAGGCACCGCTCGATTGGCGGGGGGGCCGGCGGTCTGGATTCCCAGCCGCTGGGCATGGTGGGAACAACGATTCACCGGAGCTAAGCGCGACCCATGCACCTGTTTGTCTAACTTTTGGGATGCGACATTGACGCGCCCAAACGTCGTGAACGTCTGCGCGCATCCACCTCGACCTTGTCAATTAGCGGTCCGGCAATTGCATCTCCCGTCGCGACACGCCTAGTCTACTCGCGCCTTGGATACCATTTCCGCCATCAGCATCAACAACAACAACAACAACAACAACAACAACAACAACGACACCGCCTGCCAACACCCCATCCACCAGAGCCGACCCCGACGTCCGCCAGCATGAGCTTCTCGTTCGGCCAACAGAACAGCGGCGGCGGCAGCAGCAGCACGCCTAGCAAGCCGCTCTTTGGTGCAGCTCCCTCGACTGCCGGCGCTACACCGTCTCTCTTTGGGACTGCGGCCAGCGGCACCAACACCACCACCAACACGTCCAGCGCACCCAGCAGCGGCGGTCTATTTGGCGGCGCTAGCAACACAGGCGGATCCAGCCTGTTTGGCGGTGGCGGTGCATCGACGACGCCTGCAAGCAAGCCTGGTGGTCTTTTTGGCGGAGGTCAAGCTGGCGCGTCGTCAACAACATCGGCCTTTGGCGGCGGTGGAGGCTTTGGGGGGTTCGGAAAAAAGGAGGGAGATGCAGCCAAACCCGCCGGAGGGCTGTTTGGCAGCGGCGGAGCTTCGTCTGGCGGAGCAGCTTCGTCTTCTACGCCCTCGTTTGGATTCGGTGCAGCCGCTAGTAAGTATCATCTGTACATTGCGCAGGATGCTCCATGTACCTGCTAACACCACGCGCAGGCTCCGCGCCATCAGCCACACCTGCAACGAACAAGACATCGCTCTTCCCCTCGACCACCCCAGCCGGCGCCCCTCCAGGCGGCAGCTTGTTCACCCAAAACACGCAATCGAGCAGCGGTGCCCAGTCCGGTTCTTCTTTGTTCGGTCAACAGAGCAGCCAAACCAGCGGGGGCGGATCGTCTCTGTTCGGTGGCGCAAAGCCTGCTACGACGTCGTCTTCCACCCCCAGCCTGTTCGGCGGCGCCACTGCTGGACAGTCGGCCGCGAAGCCCCTCGGTGGTCTCAGCCTAGGAGGAAACACGGGCGCCTCTACCGACGCAAACAAGAGCGCTACTCCGTCTGCTACGCCCACGTCGAATCTGTTCGGAGGAGGAAACCAGACAGCGGCGTCTGGCGGGCAAGAGGCGCAGACACCCAAGCCTGCAGGCAGTCTCTTTGGCGGACTTGGAAGTACAACACCTGCCACCACCGCGAAACCTTCAGGGTTCACCCTTGGATCTACGTCATCCGCACAACCCACGTCCTCGCAGCCTACGTCAACCGGCGCGCCAACGTTGAGCCTAGGCGGAAACACTGGCACTACGGCCTCTTCAGCAGGCGCCCCCAGCAGCCTGTTCTCAACGGCAGCAAGCTCCACTCCAGCTTCATCCGGGGGCGGCTTCAGCTTCGGCAAACCTGCTGCTTCTGCGAGCACGACAGCAACGGCTGGAGCGACTACCACGGCCACGGCGGGCGCACCCACGTCTACAGCATCATCTGGCACATCGCTCTTTTCAGGCTTGGGCAGCGGGCTAGGAGGTGGAGCTTCTGCTGCACCTGCAACGACCGGGGCCAGCACAACTACTTCGAGTACCACCCCAAGCCTATTTAGCAAGCCTGCTGGAAATGAGGCGCCTGCATCGAAGCCCGACGCCGAATCACAGCCGACTCCTACATTGGGCGCCACTAGCGGAACCGCGGGAGCGAACGCGGCGCAGAGCGGGCTTGCGGCCTCAACCGCTGGACCCGCGCCATCGGCGCAATCACGGCTGAAGAACAAGTCCATGGACGAGATTATCACGCGTTGGGCAGCAGACCTATCAAAGTACCAAAAGGAGTTCCAGGCTCAGGCTGAGCAGGTGGCATCATGGGACCGAGAATTGGTGGAGAATTCCGACAAGGTTCGGCAGCTGTACTCGAAGACGTTCCAGGCGGAGCGCGATGCTGCCGAGGTAGAGCGGCAGCTGACCATGATGGAAGAGAACCAACAAGAATTGGATTCTTACCTAGACCGCTATGAGAAGGAGATTGACAACCTCATGAAGATGCACGGTGTCAGCGGCAAGAATGAAAGCTTGCGCGGCCCTGACCAAGAGCGTGAGAGGACGTAAGTGCACCCGCTTTGCATAAGCTTGAGCAACGTACAAAAAGGCTAACACGATGCACAGTTACAAGCTCGCGGAGAAGCTGCAAGACCGCCTCAACGAACTCAACAAGGATCTCACAGATATGATTGAAGAGATTAACAGCACATCGCAGACGCTCAGCAAGACGGGCAAGCCCGACGATCCTTTGACAAAGGTCGTGCGTGTGCTCAACACGCAGCTCTCACAGCTTCAGCTCATCGACTCTGGCGCCTCACAACTCCAGGAGAAGATTGCAAAGGCACAGAGAGAGACGCAGCGTGTGGGTGCAAATGGGTGGAATGGCCTTGGCTCCGACCCTTCGGCCGACTTTATGAACAGCATGCGTGGCAGCCGGTCGACGCAGAGGTTTGGCGGTGTTTCGTAGACGTAGGATTTAGTAATTGATGCCATGAAAAGAAAGAGTAGGGGGGGAAGGATGTAAAGATTAGTTGGAATAGTCTAACTTGACTGGAACGTTTTTGCATATACTAGGCGTTCTTTTTTTTTGGTTCAAAGTGCTATAGCAAGACACGTAGTTTTGTATGTGCTTCCCGTTTGAAATGTCTCGGTTTATCGTGTTCGTATGATTAAATGTCATGCGTGTCCGTGGTGAAGAATAAGGCTGAAGGAGGGGTAGAAGAAGAAAAAGAGAGAGAGAGAGAGAGAAAATGTTGACTATGTGTTCCACAGGTGGATTTCAACATGTTAATGCGTTCCACAACACAGTATCATATACAATACAAAATAGCAGTTTGGCATCTGAAGACTTGACTAGAACGGCCGTGGGCATCGTGTCGACATTGTTCTGGGCTACGCTGACGGATTTCATGGGCGGGAAACGGTATTTAGGTCAGTTCTTCTCTCACCTACCCCCCTTTTTTTTTTTTTTCTTCTCTTGCTATTTGTCCCATTTCCCACACCTTCTCTTTTCAAACATGGCAAGCAAGAAAGTAATGGATTCTAACTACACTCCCAGTCGGCTACTGGATCGCGCTAACCGGCGTGCTCACCTCGGCACTCATGCTCTCCTATCCGCACAACACGACGCTGCACTTCGCCATGTACTACTGGGCGGGCAGCGTATACGCGTGCCAAGCGACTTTTTTCGCCTGGGCCAACGACGTGCTGCGCTACGAAGAAGACAGTCTGCGAGCCGTCGTGATAGCGAGCATGAACATGGGCAGTAATGCCGTGAATGCGTGGTGGAGCATCATTTTTTACGGTGCGAATTTCGCCCCGTATTTTACACGCGGCTTGTGGGCTATGCTCGCGGTTAGTATTGCTATGGGTGCGTGGACGGCTGCGCTCGTGGGTATGCAGAGCAGGACGGAGAGGAGGAGGGGCGAGGTCGAGGGCGTGGGGACTGAGACGGTGTTGGGGAAGGGGGAGATGTCGAGGGAGAAGGTGTGAAGATAGAGAGAAGAACGCCCGTGGGGTAATTGTTATTCTGGGTTACGGTGTATTTGTTCGTGGGATGGCTCTTCATGTACAGCTGTAGCAGGGCGTTTGTGCTAAAGGATTCTGTTTCGCCGGCGAGAATCCACAGCATCACGAAGAAGTACCAGTACCAGGTTTTGAAGCAGTGCTTGAGGAACGCGCGGGAGATGGGTGTGCGCTCTGAGACTTCGGGGACACGGGAGATGGCGAGCGCTTTTTCAGAGGCGCTGAGATAGGGCGCGCGTGTGTTGCGCGGTGTGTCGGGGAAGAGCAGGAAGCCGTAGACGGCGACGGGGAGGGTGATGATTCCGTCGATGACTGGGCTTGTTTAGCACGAGGACGAGGACGAGGACGAGGACGAATTTTTGTGGGGATACGAGATATCTGCGAACTTACTGAAGAGCCAGCGCCAGCCACTCAGGCCCCGGAGCCCGTCCATGCTGCTGTGAATTCCCGTCTGGATGAAGCCGCCAATCATGGTTCCAGCGAGTCCTGATGCCGTGAAGATGCCTGAGCGCTTTCCCAGCTCCTTCTCCGTGTACCACGACCCGAGGATATAGTGGGTTCCGACAAACGTTGAGGATTCAAAGAGGGCCTGGAAAAAGCGAATGGCCATGATGTGTTGCGGCTTTTGGGCTGCTGCCGTGACCATTGTTAGGCCGGCCCATGCTACCTTTTTTTTAAATTTTTAGTTAAAGCGCTGGTGGAGTTGAGGGCGGAGCAGTACCATGCATGCTGGGAAGAAGTAGCGCGGTTTGATGTAGTAGAGTGCGATATTGCACGGGACTTGGCCGATGGTGTATCTGGGAGGATCGTCAGTAAGGCGGTTCTGCGCTTTTTTTTTTGCATCCAGAAACATACCCAACGGTGAAGACGGTATTGATCTGGTTGAGCTGGTTCCCTCTGAAACTCAACTCTTCCCTCATGCCCGAAACATATGCGTTGTTGAGATTGGTGCGATCAAGATAGCTTTGCACGTGATTAGATACGGCTCATTTTTGACTTTGGCGCATAGTACAAGCATACTTGAGAAAGTACATGAGGCAGCAGAATGTCAGGATGAAGAAATCCAGCTTCTGGACCAGCTTGCGCTCGCCTGGCGCTTGCTGGTCACCGCGCAGGTAGGCAATGAAGCCGTTGGCCATGCTGGGGGGGACGGCGCCTTTGGGTGGCGCGAACGGGTTTCTTTTTTGCGAGGTTGTCGCAGAGCGCGCGCGCAGAGCGGATGATTTTGTACGGATTTTTATCGATAGACGGCGGTGTGGCTAACACGCCAACCCTATGCTCGGTGACCCTTATCTGAGCTTGCAATGCTCTTCCGATCAGATACTCGATTGCACGCCTGATAGGAACTGGAGACACGGGGCCGCGGTGCAAGATATGGGAGATAGGACGCCACTTATGAATGACTCGAGATATGCACAATCAGCATTTCTCGTTGCAGATCTCCGCGCCCCTCTGGTTGTGCAGCTGATTGCCGGTATCGGTAGACATGCCTCAGGCCCAACAAGGCAGGTATTTTCTCTCGAGGAGTAACAGTTTACTCGGCCGAGCCGACCGAGAACTTCCTACTAGGAGCTTAGTCTGGGTAGCGTGGACGGGTGCGGGGAGTGTTGTAGTCATCATCTTGACGACGCGGCCCAGGACGACAACAGCCGCGGTGAAGATAGCCCGAGGGTGGGGGACATTGAAAACGCGACAGGACGGCCTACACGTGGAGGTGTGCGCAATACTTTATTATTATTTTTTCTGCTACAGTTCCTTCACATTGTAATATCGAGACCATGGCATCTCAAGCGAAGTGGGAGCAAGTCGCTGCGGGGAAACGCGCAGCCCTCGCGGAATCCATTCCGGCGGCATATCGCATTCCTCAAGATAAACTACCGCCAGAGACACAGCTCAATGTCACGACTTGGCCCAAGGAGTCGGGGTGGTTTACGGCACAGGAGTTGGAGATTACAGATAGCACAGCCTCCCACATCCTGGAAAAGGTTGCGGCCAAGGCATGGAGCGCAGAGGACGTCACGGCCGCCTTCTGCAAACGCGCCGCAGCAGCCCACCAACTGGTATAGCAGAAGCACTGGAGACGGTTGGATCCATGGACTTACATGCATCAGACAAACTGCCTTAGCGACGCCTTCTTCGACGAGGCAATTGCACAGGCCAAGGCCCTCGATGAACATATGCAGCGAACGGGCCAGACCAAAGGACCACTCCATGGCTTGCCCATATCGCTCAAGGACAATTTCAATGTCAAGGGAAAGGATAGCACGGTCGGGTTTACATCGCTTGTGGGCAAGCCAGTCGAGTACAATTCGACCCTTGTGGACCTGCTCGAGAAGCTCGGCGCGGTGCGGTATTGCAAGACCAATGTCCCAACTGCCATGATGATTGTATGTATGCGTGTACCAGTAATGGGGATTTTGGGCTTACATGAATTAGGCCGAGTCTGTTAACAACACGTTTGGACGTACCACCAATCCGCTAAACCGCAAAGTCACGTCTGGGGGGTCCTCGGGCGGAGAATCGGCTCTCATTGCATTCGGAGGCAGTCCTTTGGGTGTTGGAACCGACATTGTAGGTTTATCCTGATTTTTAGTTCCTGCTGCTGACAATACACAGGGCGGTAGTTTGCGAATACCGGCTGCGTGTACTGGTATATTTACTCTTCGCCCATCCTTCGGCCGCTTCACAACGCAAAAATGCACATCAGGCCTCGCGGGCCAGGAAGCTGTACAAAGCGTCAATGGGCCCATGGGAAAGACCCTCGAGGATATTACCATGTACTCAAAAGCGGTTGTTGATGCGCAGCCGTGGAAACTAGATCCCAAGATGCTGCCAATGCCGTGGCGATCAGTCGAGCTTCCGAAGAAGCTCAAGATAGCGGTGCTCTGGAATGACGGCATGTGTTTGCCCACTCCCCCGGTAACACGGGCGCTGAAAGAGACGGTGGAAAAACTGAAAAATGCAGGGCATGAGGTTGTTGATTGGGATCCCAAGCTGCATCCAAAGGCGCTCGAGCTCCTGGTAAGCCTTCATATGCCCATGTAAAGCTTCATGCTAAACAGTATAGGGACGAATGTTTGTTGCAGATGGCGGTAAGAGCGTCGAGGCACTGCTCGCCCCGACGGACGAACCGTTTCGGCCTGAGATGCAAGCATACAGGGACGCCTCAGAGTTAGGCGTCCGTGATATGTGGAAGTTGCATTTGGAGAGATCTGAGCTACAACGACAGTACTTGGAGCAGTGGAATTCTATTGAAGGGCTCGATGCCATTCTAGGTAATCCAAAAACCGCATATTTGTTACTCTTTGGTTAACAATGAATAGCGCCTACTACCCCTTACTCGAGCACAGCACATGGCGACTTCAAATACGTTGGATATACTGGCGTCTACAATGTTGTAGACTACTCGGCTGTGTCATTCCCCTGTGGAGTCTCGGTCGACAAGACAAAAGACAAGTGCTTGAGTGATCATACGCCTCAGAGTGATTTTTGCAAGGATGCTCAGGAAAGCTGTAAGCGGACTCACAACACGCTCAGTGCTATCAATGACTGACACCCGATAGATGACCCTGAGCTATTGCATGGATTACCTGTGAGCTTACAGTAAGTATTAGAACTAGCCTGCTCTCCTGATTAGGATACTAATTTATGCAGGCTTGTTGCTCACAGACTTGAAGAAGAGAAGGTGCTTGCCATGACCGAAACAGTTCTGCAAGCAGTACAATAATAGATGCCCGTTAGAAATACAACTAAATCTAAACGAGTAATACGATGCATGTATTTGCCTCATTCACAAGTGAGGTTGGTGTGGAGTAGCTTCCTACAACAGTGTAAGAACCCTTATCGCACGGCATCGAGCAAGAGCGTCTCAGTCTTGGAAATGAGTATACAGACAACTTCTGCAGCCTCATAATGACATCGTCGTTGCGACGTATTCCCTTACCTCTTCTACACCCCTGACCTCGGTCACCCTGCTTGCATTTACCTGCAAGCAGTTGAGGCTGCAGGCGTCTTATTCATTCACCATTCAATCCTGCGAGCGGACGTTCCTCATCACCTAACAAGACAACCCCAGAACCTCTCTGCAGAGCCGCCATATCCTTCGCTGCACTCGCCACATCTTTCTACATTGGATGGTGTCTACCCTGCAGGATGGCTGGAACTCCTGAAAATGTATCGGGCAAAGCGAGCGTGCGATCCAGACCGGCCTCAATGCAAGACCACAGGAAGCCTCCAGCAATCATGGCGAAAAAGCTTCCCTGGCTTGAGCGAAAGCCCACACACACTTTGCAAAACGCATCCATGGACGGTCAGCTTAGCACGTCCGTAGACAGCCCACGCAGCACGCCCGTAGACGGTCATCAAAGTAATGCAGACTCGCCATCCCCGAGTACTCGGGCTCCAGACCGTGAAGTCTCCTCTTCAAGCACTTCCGGGCATGCAGTTGGGGGCAAGCCGATAGCACGAAGGAAAACGTTCATCCCACCTGGTCGCTTTCAAACTCCGTCAACAGCTGGAAGTAGCCCATCGCCGGTTACGAGGCATCGACTCTCAGAGACACGACGGCCATCCTCAGCTTCCAGCAAAGGAACCCCACAATGAGTCGTGAATCGAAAACCCACTACAAAGCCATATGACTCGCAAAAACGGCCTTCAATTGTTCGCCTCGAGAACGGCGCCGATAAAATAAGGGACAATGATCACCGTCCGCGTGCACAAAGTTTGGCGCCCATTCCAGATCACCTTGAACAGTCCGTGACACCAGAGAGTACCCCGACACCAACACAGAGTAATCTCAATGGCGAACCGACACCCCCTGTAGTCATATCAAGAGTCCAAACATCTCTGGTCCAACCAGCGCCATCTCACAGCGTCTTCGAGCATACCGCCAGCCGAAGGATAAGCAATGCGGTGGATGACCTGGAAGATATGGTACAAGAAGCTATTGAGGTCGCTGAGGGCGCTCACAATCAAGAGCAGGTAAAGGAGATATACGACATCATTGAAGGGGCGAGAAACGCTGTTCAAGATGTAGCTGAACCCAACTATCTCATGACCACAGCTCTTCCTCTCAAAGCATCCAGTTCCTCAAGCCTATCATCCAGGTTTGAGCGCACAACGTCGCCTACAGCCCCGGGCAACGTTCTCGAGGACCTAGCGCCGAACATGCATTCACACTCAGCTCTTCCACGAGGCTCAGTGTCCCATGATTGGGCCTATTCGAACCAAGAACACCGAGAGAAAGAAAATTCGTCGACATCATCGCGTACTTCAACTGATAGAGAGGACGACAGAGACCATACCGACCCCGGAACACGTAGCAATCTTCTTCTTCCAAAGCACGCCCAGGCGGCTCCTAGGGAGCACGTAGACTTTGTTCTTCGTCCTGTGGGTCGAGATGAATCACGCGGTCGTTCACGCCGACGAGTCACCAACGATCCTGGAACCTACAGTCACCAGAAAAGACGCCACAAAAGCCATCGGCGTATCCCTTTGTCCAATCTGAGGAATGGTCCGAGAAGCTCTAGTTTCAGTGAAAGTGATAGTTCATCAGGCGAAGACGGATTACCAGCCCATCCTTACGACAACGAACTCGAGGTCCGAGAGCATGCACACCGTCACACGTTCAGTCTACGTCGCCATCACCGCAGACAGCCGATTGCGAGGAATTGGCCTACAGGCAAGAAACGCCTTACCGCCACTGTCGCCTGCGTCAATACAGCTCTACTTGGCATCATCGTTGGCATCTACGCGGGTGAGGTGCCACGCATACAGTACTCTCTGGCAGACGAACAGCACATCACCATTGTCGGCAACGCGGTGCTGTTTGGCGGGCTTGCGATTTCCACCTTCTTTGCTTGGACCTTACCTCTACTACACGGGAGGAAGCCCTATATCCTCACAGCCCTAGCAATCGCCTTGCCGCTCCAGTTCCCCCAAGCCATCATTGTCAGTGAATATCGAAACAAGGATACCAAATACCGCATTGGACTGTTACTTTCCCGCGCAGTATCCGGTCTCGTGCTCGGCTTTGCCAATGTAAACTACATCACGGTGCTGCTCGACCTGTTCGGCGCCTCATTGCAGTCCAAGAACCCGCACCAAGAGTTTGTTGTTGCAAACGACGTGCGCCGTCACGGTGGGGGCATGGGCATGTGGCTGGGGATCTGGTCCTGGTGCTGGATCGGCTCGCTCGCTGTGGGCTTCCAGATCGGGGCTGCAATTATCGAGACCCTGACACCCGACTGGGGCTTTTACGTTGTAGTCATGATTCTGGTCTTGGCCTTGATACTCAACATTGTTGCTTCGGAAACGCGGCGGGCCCCAGTCCGCAGATCGGTAATCGAGGTGTACGACAGAGACGAGAATTACATCACCAGGCGGGTCAATCGGGGTGAGGCGAAACTGCATATCGAAACTGAGGGGCCGATGTATTGGTTCGAAGAAGTGTGGGCTGGCATAAAGCTCATGGCCATGATGCTCCGTCAGCCGGGCTTCCTCGTCCTGGCTCTCTACCTAGGCTGGATCTACGCACAAGTCGTACTTGTCATTGTTCTCTTGGGCGCTCTTTTATCAAGGGATTACAGATGGCGACCGACAAGTGTAGGTGCAGGCGTCATGTCTGTTGCCATTGGTGCCTTCTTAGCGATCCCCTTGACAAAAGCAGGCATCTTCTCGCGAGACCGCAAAAAGGCGTTTCGAACAGACTCGATGACGTTTGAGAAGCAAGTTACTTGGAGTAGCCATCTTGTTCGGCGCGCAGTCTTCACGCTCACACTTCCTCTGATGGGCATGGCATATACCATTTCGTCAGCCGGGCGCCCCAGACCATACGCTGTGCCGATTGTCTTTGCGGGCGCTGTAGCGTTTCTCAGTGTACTCGCCATAGCCGAGTGTCATGGCCTGATCATGGAAACATTTGATACGTGCGATCTGCAGCCTGGAGTCAACACGCGGCATCGTCTCGAAAGCATGGCAGTGCAAGATCGTAGAAGAAGAACCAATTACTCGTCCTTTCCTCGGGTCACGGCTGGTATCTTTGCCAGCCAGGTCATCGCTTTCATCCTAGCAGCTGTGGCGACCATGGTCGGCGGTTCCATGACACGACGTCTGGGCGCTCAAACATCGACGGGTGTTACAGCCGGCATTCTCTTTGGTCTAACCGTCCTTCTCATCTTGGTCCTGTTCCGTTTCAAGTCTGTACAGGTTATACCAAATCACACATTCGGCACCAGACGCGACACTGCAGCATGGCAAGAGTTCAAAGACCTGGAGAAGATGGGCAGAGGCAGTGATTGGAAGGCTGTGGTTATCGGAAACCCCAGTGGCAAGATGAGAAGAATGAGTGTGCTTGAGTTGGGTGCTCTGAGTCGATGGACGGAGATTAGAAAATTGAACTTCTTGATCCAAGGGGTGATGCTGGGACAGCCAAAGGAGAAGAAGAGGGGGTTCGGGGGTGCACGGTAGACGATCGAATTTGGACAGAGGGTCGGGATGCGAGCAGAGTAAGTAGTGAAGCGGTGTTGACCTCTAGGACTAAAGACGGACATAATTCATATCCTTTGCCACATACCCTATACGGATGTTGTTGTTGCGGGTAGATGCCCGCACGTGCTCTTAGGACGACGATACAAGTGCAGTTTTCTAGGCCGATGGTGTTTCTTGCATACCCTATCTCTGTCAGCTATTTATCTTGGATTCAAAGGCATTTTTGTTGGAATCCACATGTCTTGGTGGTGAAGTAAAAATGATGAGTCTCCTGAGCGCTGAGGGTTCCGACAAGCGGCGCACGGCCCCCTCGGAAAAATCGTCAGCTCACTGCCAGAGCTCCATCCACCATCACGAGCAGACGACCGGCGACACCCCATCTTCCCCCGCCCAATTCGCATCAAGATGTCTCTCGCCGCATCCCGTGCCGTCTTACGGCAGTCGACGTTCACTGTCCGCCGGGCAGGCATCCGCAATGCCTCGTCAACCGCCGAAGCCACCAACACCGTAAAGGACGCCGCGTCAAAGGCACAGTCAAAGGCATCAGAGGGTCTCTCCAAGGTCCAGAGCTCTGCGAGCTCTGCGGCATCAAGTGCCGGTTCCGCCGTCAACAATGCGTCTCAGCAAGCCACTGGACGGGTGGGAAGGATGGTCAACTTCGTGCAAGGTTAGTCACACTCATCGCGCAGGCGCGGGGAGACGATCAATGGCATTGGAAGGACCACGGACCGCTGGAAGAGCCGGAAATGGATAGCACGGCACTCAATGGTTCGCCGGGCGGGCTGTATATGGCTTATCAGGTGCAGCCGGAGAGGGAGTGATAGATTGCGATATGCCATTTGAAGCCACGGCGAAACGATGCCGCAGTGCCAATTGAACGGCCTACTGACAATTGCACAGGAATCATTCCCCGCGCTACCTACTACGGCAAGGTTGGAATTGAGCTCGGAAGACTCATTGCCCAACAGCGCAACATGCAGCCACCGTAAGCTTTCCACAATCCGGAGGCACACGCATGCTTTCAATTGCCGGAAAAAATACTAAAGGCTCTTAGATCCGTCCAGACCATGCAAAACTACATCCAGCCCGCTCTGAACGCCCTCCGTAACCCGAGCACCATCTTCAACCGCGTGGCCAGCGTGGCTAGCGAGGCCAACAGCGCCGCCCAGCAACCCGCCAACGTTCTCGCACAAATCCGAAACATCCCCTCCGCTCAATGGTACTCGATGGGTGTGATTGCCGCTGAGGTCATTGGCTTCTTCTCCGTTGGCGAGATCATCGGCCGTTTCAAGCTTGTGGGCTACAGGAGCAAGAAGGACGAGCACCACTGAGTGCGATGAATTTAAGAAGACCAAGATACGACATTCAAGCATGCATTTGGGGCCAAGCCGACGTCAGTTGGACGAGATGGGCATGGGCGAGGAAACACTGTACGATTTCGCGGGCTGATGAGCCGGGCAAGTGTGTTTGCGGTGCATTCGGCATGGAAGGGGTCCGATACTGTATACTGCACATACCTCTGATTTAGATTACACTTTCTACATGTGCACTTTTATTGGCAATGCATCTACTTCAGTCTATCGCCCGCCATGGCGCGTGCTGTGAATGCTAAGGCGATCGGCGCTAGTTTGGCCGAACGCCGCGGCCCAATTATTTTTCCCATGCAACACTCGAACTTTTGCATCGCCAACTCGAAATTGTGACCGCGATGGACGCCTTGGTGTAGACTGCACTATTTCGAACGCCAGAATCTCCGCTCGTCCCGCCATGAACGTATTCAAACTTCTCTCGCGATCCTCCCAGGCCGCGCAGAGTTCGCCCGCGCAAAAGCTTCCCTCCTCCGGCGCCGTCGCAAACCCGCAGCTCTTCGGTCATGACGAGCCAGCACAACCGCCCGAGTCGTCCAACTCGAGTCGCAAGAGGAAGAGGGGTCAGAATGCTATGGATGCAAACTCCGCCTCTACTGCTCTACCTGCAGACCTCGATTTCTTCGGTGGAGGCGCAGGCAAAGACGGAGAGGGTGACGGAGACGCTCTGTCCAAGAAACAAAGGAAGAAGCTGAAAAAACAAGAGCGAGAAGAGGCAGCCAATCTGGAGAAGGGAGAGAATATCACCCAAGAAGATCCATACGACCTGGAGGAATGCAAGAGGATTCTGCGCTCGCGCAAACTAAAGGTCGCCGTGTTGGAAGAGTTTGCGCCGCAGGTGGAAGAATCGCGCAAGGAGAAGAAGAAGTCAAAGAAGCGGAAGAAGGAGAAAAAGGTCGAGGAAAAGAAGAAGGAGACAAAAAAAATATTGTACCCCCAGCCGATTACATCGTTTGCCCAACTCCGAACACGCTATGGTATATCGAGACGCCTCGCTGAGAATATAATGGAGCAGGGCTACAAGCTGCCGACGGAAGTCCAGATTGGAGCTTTGCCGCTGTTACTGCGCAAGAAGGGGCATCAGGAAGCCGAGGGCTTGTCTGGCGCAGAGTATAATGGCGATATTGATCTTCTGACGGTTGCGCCCACGGGTAGTGGAAAGACGATAGCGTTCCTCATACCAATCATCGATGCGCTGCTTTCAGAAAAGACGTCAGATACCAAGAGTGGCCCTCGCGCTGTTATCCTCGCGCCGACAAGGGAGCTGGCTTCACAGATTGTCAATGAAGCGAGGAAGCTGGCAAAGGGTACGGCGATAAAGGCTACGCTTATGAGGAAGGGTATGCAGGTTGTTGGGCAGGAAGACGAAGATCAGGCAAAAGACGATGAGACAAAGGACTCGCCTGAAGCATCCGAGGATGATGAAGATGAGTCCGAATCGGATGATGAAGAGAAGGCGGTGCCAAAGAAGCAGACACGTCGCCGAGGAGAACTTGTCAAGGCTGCAATCCTGGTAGCAACTCCCCTCTCTCTCCTGAATGCTCTGAAGCGCAGAGATGGCACGGTTGCAAACATCGCCAGCGTATCTCAACTCGTCCTAGACGAAGCCGACGTCCTCCTTGATCCACTGTTCCGCGAGCAAACCCTCGCTGTATGGAATGCCTGCACCAACCCCAAGCTCCGACTTGGGCTATGGTCAGCAACGATGGGATCGAACATTGAAAGCCTATCCATATCCACCCTCAACGACCGCTGGTCTGCAATTTCCTCGTCACAACCCGATCTGCCGCCACGACCGCCACTCATCCGACTTGTCGTCGGTCTCAAGGATAGCGCCATTCCAAACATTTCTCACCAACTGACCTACGCAGCCACTGAGCAAGGCAAACTTCTGGGCCTCCGTCAACTCCTCCACCCAACTGCCGTATCCAACGACTCCGATCAGCCCAGACTCCGGCCCCCATTCCTAGTCTTCGCCCAGACGATCCCCCGAGCCATAGCGCTCCACTCCGAGCTCCTCTACGACATACCACCCGAGGCAGGCGGCAGCTCGCGCATTGCCGTCCTTCACGCGGACCTGAGCTCATCAGCCCGCGACAGCATCATGACGCGGTTCCGCAAAGGCGAAATCTGGGTTCTCATCACCACGGACCTGCTCGCTCGCGGCGTCGACTTCCGCGGCCTCAATGGCGTCGTCAACTACGACGTACCCACCTCGGCAGCCGGCTACGTGCACCGTGTTGGCCGCACAGGGCGCGCGGGTCGTCAAGGCGGCGTTGCAGTCACATTCTACACGCAAGACGACATTCCCTACGTCAAGCTCATCGCAAACGTGATTCGCGCCTCCGAAAGCCTCCGTGGCGTCAGCGTAGACGAAGGCAGCGTAAAGCAGTGGTTGATGGATGCGCTGCCTACGCCATCCAAGCGGGACAGACAGCAGTTGAAGAAGAGGGGAGTCGAAGCAAGACGCTCAGTCAAGGGCAAAGATGGCAAGGTCGAAAGCAGAATTAGTAGCAAGAGTGGGTATGAGAGGCGGATTGAGAATATGCGCAAGGGAGCCAAGGAGGCGGCCAAGAGGAGAAAGGAGGAGATGCTAGATGCGGGGAAGGCGAGTGAGAGTGAGGGAGGAGATAGCGATTTCGAGGGGTTTGAGTAAGAATTACCAAATTTGTGGATGCCTTCCTTTGTGTTAGTAAGTAGTGGAGGATTTGGAAATAGTGCCAAGGGTAGAGTCTAATTAAGCCTTTTGCCACTGTAGGGTTGCAGAAAGCTTAGTCATAACGTGTCCTTGGTGTGAGCGATATGTATAACGGGGCGTGCAAGAAAGAAAGATGCGGAACAGGATTTAACCCACAATTGCGGTAGGTAGAGCATTGAAAGAGAGGTGAGAATGATACCAGTCTTTCTAGTTGGGGGATTTGCTGTACCTGCGATGGCTGGAGGATATTGTGGTGTAGTATTGTGCCCGTGACTGGGTTCCGCACAGTATATCTATGGTAGCTACGATAGATAGGAGAAAATCAACCACTTCCCACTCCGACAGCCTTACGGCAGCTACTATTCTATCTAATTTCTTGCCTATCTACCGATTGCGGTTCAAAAGCATGTTCCCTGGCTTCTTTCATGTCGCAGTACCCCATCGCTGCCACAATATCTATCTGTTTTATGAGTGATTTCGACGTGCTAACGCAGCGGCTTTCACAACGTACATTGTAGAGTACACGACATAATATAGTGGTGAGGTATCATGCACTGGATCCTATACACAGTAAGTCGGTAGTAAAATAACATGATTGATGTCTGCGACGAACGACAGTCTAGTAAACACGAGGTGTTTCTTAGGAAGTAGGCTTTGCTAGGCAGCCCACTCCTTGCAATGGTGTTTGAAAGCAAAAGCTATTCGAACAACGCGAATTTTGACTGACCCCCCTATGTTTGCTAAGTAAAGGTTCTCACTCTTTGCAAAAATTAATGGTGTACTTGTATCACTTCCTATGCACCGTACAGGCCGTGCGCGATAAGTTCAAACAGATGAAAATTTGATAGCAATGAGGGGGATAGTCGTCGCGCAACCCCTAAAGGAGGCGCCTGTTGCCGTCGGATCCGGCAACAATTTGGCCGAAAGCGAAATAGCTTGGCGCTCAGCAATGCTTAGTAGATTCCCGTTGCTAGGCGCCAAGCAATGCATCGCGTACATACTCTTCTGCAGTAATTATTTGTGAAACCGGCAGGTAATAGGAGCCTGTCACAGTTTGCTGATATATATGATATCCAACTTCGATTCGCGTAAAACGACGAAATTATATCTAAGTAGCCGGATAGCTAGTCACATGAGCTTTACTGCACTACGATGTATGCAAGACAAATACGTCCTGTAGACGCTACTCGACTTACTGCATTGCATTATCTAATCTATACCGTTACATTGTAGAAATGTTCGTTTCTACTTGAAAAGGAATGCGTTTCTTTTCTCCTGTATGTAGCTTGCATGGGTAGATCGTACGGGGTAAATCCTCGACAGTCTGCATAAGGGGTCGTGTGACGGATTGGTCTCAGAGTTGGAGCTTCAATGCGCGTTGATTGCGATACTATCTGTTTGCCTTATGGGTGATTTTATCTGCTTTAGGAGTGATTTCGAACTGCCGACACAGTAGACTTCATAGGCTAGTTCTTCAGGGTATGTATAAAAGTGCGCGTACGGTGTAACTCTTGGATCGCCAATCCGCTGTCTTTCCGTCTCCGAAGTGTGCCTGCTTCGCTCCGACTCTTGCCTTAGGTTTAAACCCTTCACAGACATGAACCTCCCCTTTCCCCTCTTTTCCCCTCCTTTTCCCTTCCCATGGGTGCTATGTTATTGGAAAGGATGTCTGACTTAAATCAGTCGACGGCATATTCGTGCATAAAGAACTCTTGGGTTGGCATGATGTGTTGAGTAACGCCACTGGACGTGGCCAACTGCTGGGTGTACGTACGCCCATAACACTAAGTCACCCCTGTGTACTTAGTAGTATAGCCGCCCACTTACAGCAGAGCAGGGGTAAGTTTTGTAACACCGAGATTCGCAAGGGGGTATTTTTGCCACTCGATTCTTTGCTCAGCCCTGCTATACAGCCAATCAGAGATTATCGGTTTTGTATTCCTCCAATTACGTACAACAGTAGAAGACATGACTAAAATAGCTAACGTAAATTTGATCTTCACCGACGCAGGCTCGAAGTTTTACAAAACTTGCCCCTGCTCTACTGGACGATGTTGTAGTCGCCCTCATATCGAGGCTGACAGGCAGAATCCGTCATTTTCAACATTATTCCTCCTGATTCCAGTCTCATAGAGTATTGCAAGCCTGCAGCCAAGACGGGTTTACCTTGATGTGTTTGCCGTTAGAAGCACGCATGACTATGATCTGCGTATACGTGGTCTGGTGGTTAAATATTCAAGACAGGGCTTTATTCGGACTGGGGTTAGGTTTTAAGCTTAACCAAAGCTAGCCTATTAATACTAAGCTTGGACTGCTCCTATCCAATTATAAGTGATTAAGCTGCTTATAAAGCGGGGCTTAGCGGAGTCTTCTAACGTAATTGGTGTTACAAAACCACCCCTGGGCACTAACCAGCACCCCTGCTAGTGCATCTGCTAGTGCCCCATCTTGAATATTTAACCACCAGACCACGTACGGTGGTGCGGTATTTGTGGCCGTAGTTGAATAAGTGATCTACGAGCGACGCTCTTATGCTCAAGCCGACGCTCCGATGCTCCGACGCTCCGTCGCTACAACAGATCTCCGAGATTTTCCTCAGGAGTAGTTCTCGCGCGGATAGTGTTTTATAGGCCGAGCCTAGTACAACGTCCATTTGCCATATAAGAATGCCTTGCTCATCTTTTGCCAGTTAAAGTATCAGTTTTTTTTACAATATCTTGGATGAACAACAAGTAAAGTGCATTACCAACGCACAGCTTGGGACTCAATTCGTTACCATGGGGAACTTTCAGCAACTCAAGATTATACCAATATTTATTGGTTGCACCATTGCAGTGGTAAGGCGCCCTAAAATGATTGAGCTAGGAGTATCTGTTGACTGAAGACAGGCTATTTTGCGCATTGTTTTCGTTTGCATTTATAATGTATATTTCCACCCCTTACGAAAATGTAGGTCAAGTCGTCCAGTTCAAACATGGCAATTAACTAAGCCGCAATAACAGATCCAGGACCCAAGCTCGCAGCAGCTACTGGGTTGTTTTTTTACACTACAAAGCTTTACGTGGAGAAGAGGCCAAATGGGAAGCCGAGACTCATAAGAAATACGGCGAAATCGTACGGCTTGGGCCTGATCGATTGAGCTACATCACCCCACAAGCTTGGAAAGACATTGCTGCCTCCGGAGCGGGCAAACGCGAGGAAAATCCCAAAGATCTAGCAACTTTAGCACCAGACATACATGGTTACAGATCTATGCTCTCAATCCCTCTCGCAGTCGATCACCGGGCACACCGAAGGATCTACGCCTCTGCGTTTAGCGACAAAGCTTTGAGGCTGCAAGAGCCCTTGATCCTTGGCTATGTCAACTCGCTGTTACGCATTGTCAAGAACCACGCGACGGGCAACTCACCTGTTACGTTTGATATTTGCAAACTGCTCAACTGCACGACCTTTGATGTTATGGCAGATCTAGCTTTTGGGGAGCCTCTAGGCCTCCTCGATCAGTCAGAGCTAACGCCTTGGGTTAAGGCAATATTTGCAAACGTCCAAAGGCTTTCGATTTCACGTTTGACGCGCGAGTACAAGTCTTTAGGTTTTCTCATCAAGATGCTTACTCCAAAAAGTGTTCTAGAAGGCGCATATACACACTATAACCACTCCTACGAACGGGTAGAGAAGCGACTAGCACGAGGCGTCGACATAGGGAAACTCGACATATAGAAACTTGTCATGGAAAAAGATGAGTCAGCCAGACTGTCGATGAGGCAGATGGCGTGTGACGCGCAATCATTCATGCTAGCCGGAACGGAGACTACGGCGACCCTGCTAAGCGGCCTCACATACTTATTGCTATCGAATCCACATCACATGCAGAGACTCCAGGCTGAGGTGCGGGGGTTGAAGAAAGAGGAGCTTAACCTTATGCAACTAGCCCAGCTGCCGTTCCTGTCCGCATGCTTCCAAGAAGGTCTGAGATGCTACCTCCCTGTTCCGACTCCATTTTTCCGCATTACACCCAAGGGAGGCAACATGATCTGTGGAGATTGGATCCCAGGATTCGTAAGTATACCCAACATCAACCTAGCCTATACTCTAGCTGACTAAGTCATCGCTTTAGACCCGTGTTGCCGTCTCTCATTACGCTGCCTACCAACACCCGATGAATTTCAAGGACGCCAGCTCCTTTATTCCCGATCGTTGGCTCCCTGGATCTGGCTACGAAAGTGACCGCAAAGATGTCTGTAACCCATTTTCCGTCGGTCCACGCGATTGTATCGGTCAGAAGTAAGTTGCCCCTAGTGTCTGAATTCTTTGTAGGCAAGAAAGGAAATGACTAACGCGTTGAAATAGTCTGGCACATCACGAGATGCGCGTTATCCTTGCAAATCTTGTATGGCACTTTGATTTCGAGTTGTGCCCAGAAAGTCAGGGTTGGCTCAATCAGAAGGTTTACATGCTGTGGGACAAGCCTCCGCTGATGGTCAAGGCCAAGCTTAGAGCTGATTTATAGGTTTATTTTGTATAGAAAGTGAAAATTCTTGAGCGCTACTTACTTTCGCCTTTTACGCCAAGACTTCAGGGTAGAGTTTGTGCGGCACAAGATGCTGGAAGAAATTTGGCTTTCATGCTTTGCCCTTTTGGGGATTGTAGATGGATACATGGATCATAGAGTGACGGGTCAGCGTAAGGCGTTAAGGCAGCATGGAAAGGTGGCAAATTAGTTGATACAGATGGACGCACAGAGGTACGGGCGTCAGGCGGTTGTCATAGATGTATCACAAAGGGTGGAAATCTTGAATTAATGCAACTGTTTTTCCTTCTTCAGTATTCACTTGCAAAATAGAAAATGCTTTTGTTTTCTAAACCCTGCTGGGATGTTCAATACTGTATCAGACGGATTGCCGCGTGCTAGGTTCTCCTTATTGAATACTACCACGCCTCCATTACTTTATTGCAGTTCTATCGACATTAGAGCAGACGCGATTGGACCAACGTTTTTTTTTTTAAAAAAAAGCAGCACATGCACGTTACAAGCAGCAAGACATATTTTCTTCACAACAAGTAGAGAAGCGCTACCTAAGGGAAGTCAGGGGTGTCCCTCATCAGCCTGTACACCTAGCCTGGCAACTACAGAGTATCAAAGTAGTAATAGTCGCTGGCGATCTGTCTTGTGTATACTAGTACCATCTACTCTACATCTCCCTCTCACTACCTATACCAGACTTATTCCGCTAATAAAACCGGATACTTATATGTACAGCATTCATTGAACGCTAAGTATGTAATGACTTTGCGTATTTGATCTATGAACCTGGCAGGCTATATAGGAGCTTGTCGAAATTTATTGATCGATTATTAGCATAGAATGCCCTACTTGTGCTCGAGTGAAGAGAGGTAGTGGAACCTAATCAAATAACAAGTATATTATGAGGTTGCAATAGCATTTTCTATTCCTGCAAGAAAAAAAATCTAGGATACATCAAGAATGATAAACATCTATCACTAATACTACAGTGAATCAACATATATCTTGAGCAAAATGTGCGTAGTAGAATACTACTCAGTACGTAGAGTTTAATTACCATCCAGCAAAGAATATAGCTGTACTTGGTTCATAATTTCAGCATTCGCATCACAGGTTATTTTTGTGTCCCTTAGCTTTACCTGGGTGACTTTGAGAGGCTTTAGCCTACATCCTAGGCTCTCGACCTTAATAATAGTACATCGATAGATAAACAAAACCCCCCCAACACAATCTACAAAGACATCTCCCTCCTCTACCTTCACTACCTTCGGGTAGCGATCAACCCAAGCTGACACCGTCCATGTCAAATAGGAAGAATGGCACGTTCCAAAGCTCTTTATCCAACATCTTTTCTTTAAAGAGAAACAGGGGTGTGTGTGTGACTAAAGTAGCCAACAAACACATCCCAGAATCAGAATGAAAAAAAATGAAAAATCGCAACATGATTATCATCGAGTTAGCCGTGGTATATTAGTCAGTAAGGGGGGGGGGGAAAAGAAGGGAGATAAGCCAGACGATCAAGCATACTCTAGTACTTTGACGTAACCATTCTACACTGTATATCTTATCTAATATCACTACTGCAGTTTGAACCAAAGACTTCCTATCTTCTCCCAGCTATCTAAAGGTAATGTTTCCCCCTTCCCCCTTCCGACCTTTCATATAGACAGCTAACATATATTCTAACTAAGTAACCCCCCCCCCCCCCAACCCCCCCCCCCTATTTCCTCCTCGTTGAACTAGCTCAAACCCCACACGCTTATAATTTGAAACCTGGAAGCATATCCCAGATCACGCTGTCTAATACATAACGTAATCTCTATATTCCAATCCTCAAAACAACACAAAAACAGCCCAAGACCCCCTATCACCCCACCCCTAAACCCATATACTCACACCCACAGCCCCGCAAGCATGTCCCAGCCTCCACTCTTTTACCCCCCTTCCCAAAACCCTCTACAATCTGCATATCTACCAATTCATACCTTTTCTCCATCTTCCCATCTTCTTTCTTCCTTCCCACCAGTTGATATTCCATATCCGCCAAGTACGTATGTACATAATATATGATACCAAGGAAGGGGGGGGGGGCATTCAAAACATGCAGTCAGTGTAATGTGTACCATGCATGCAATGCAACTATGCAATACATTTAGTTAAACCTTCAGAAGAATTCGTCCAGATAAGCTGCAATCTGGGCATAATCTGCATTAGTTGGTTACTAATCTTCTCCTTTCCTTTCTTTTTCTTTTTTTTTCTTCTCTTCACTGTTCGCATGTAGCGAGAGGACCTGGAAAGACTTGGAAAAGATAAACAGAAAAAACTACATGGCAAAAGTTGATATTTAGGGACTTTGTATGTAGAAAACAGTGACATGGAGAATACTATATTCGTAATCAGTATGGCTTATTTTTTTTGTTTTTTTAGAAAAAAAAAATAACTATCATTCATTCATTCATTTGCATCAAATCATCTTAATATCAACCTCCCTTCCTCCTCCCTCCAAACAAAACACCCAAACCATAACAGAAAAAAAGACCACCTAAATCTCCACACCATAAACCTCACACCCCGCCCTCCACCACACGCTCTCCCTCTCCCTCTCACCCAACCCCTTCTCCTGCATCCACAAGCCCAGCAGATCCCTCCAGAGGCCCCAATTACCCGCTTCGCCACTCGGACCCCCCACATTGCACACGGGCCAATCACTGCCGAACATGGCTCTGTGGGGGAAACAGGCGAGGGCGTGGTCGAGAAAGGGGGATAGCGCGGTGAGGAGGGTGGGGAGATCAGCGGGGGTGGGGGCGTCTTTGAATTCGTTTAGGGCGCCCGAGAGTTTGATGGAGAGTTGGGGGTCTGGGGTGAGGGCGGAGAGGGCGGAGAGCCAGTGGGGGGAAGGAGTGGGGGAGGAGACGGAGAGGGGGTGTTTGGCGAGGTGGTCTGGGGTATTTGTTAGCTCTGTTTTTTTTTCTGCTTCTTGGCCGTTTGGTCTCCTTTTTTTATTTCTCTCTCCTCCTCGAACGCCATCTCTCCCGCTCTATCTCATGATCTTCGTATTTGAAGCCATGGAAACTCAGAAAAACTCAAAATAAAAAAAAACAGTAAAGAGAGAACGAACAAACTTACTAATCACAAATCTAACTCCTCTCCCCTTTCCCACACCTTCACTTTCTTCAACCTCTCTTACTCTTCTAATCAACTTCCCCACCGCATCCATCGCCGAATACCCATATCGATGCACATCGACGCCAACATCAAAGCACCACCCTTTCCCGTCTCTTCCCCGCCTCAAAGCCGCCAGATTGCTAATCCATCCATCCTCGTTCTCGCTCAACATGCTAGCAACAACGCCCTCGCCCTTTCCTTGGAGCAAGTACCGGAATCCCACGACCTTGCTCCAGAGCACGGGCCCCGCAGTTTCTTCCGCGAGTTCGAGGTACGTCGTGAATACGGGTGGAGCAAGATGCAGAGGACCGTAGATGACGCATCCCTTCATTTTCTGTGCTTCTGCTTCACTAAAGCCGTCGCCGGGGTCGGGCTGCGCTTCGGCGATGCGGCGCAAGAATTTGATTTCCTCGAGTGGCTGTTTGGCCCATTCCGAGAGTTTGGCCTTTACGGCTTCTTTGGCTTCGGCTGTGGGTGTGCTGGAGAAGAATGACGTTGGAATGTCAGAAGGGGACGCGGAAGGCAGATATCGATCAGTTTCTACGTATATGAAGCCAGACGGTGGGGGTGATGTGATGGAGAGGTAGTCTGAAATGCCGTGACGCTTAGCGAGGGCGTTGTCGGGTGTCATCCAGCCATGGTCCGAAGAAGAAGTTGCTGTTGAGGGCCAGAGGTGGATGTGAGTATCTAGGATGCGCTGTTCTGATTGTGACATGTTTGGATTGCTTCAACTTATGAACTCGGTGGAGCGTGGTGTCGTGATGTTGTTGCTGTTGTTATGGTAATAGCAGGAGCCGCGCGGAAAGATGCAGACTTTAATAGCAGAATTACCGAGTACAATACCGGCCCAAGGTGTCACAAATATCGAGAAGCATGTAAAAGGACTTGTGGAAGCGTCGTTATGTCAATATTATCGCTGCTGCTATGCAACAGATGCGCACGTGGATGTCTTTCGCGTTGGGCGGGGTAATGAGACACCGAGAAAAACGGTGGTGGTATCCACCAATGCTACGAATCCATGGAAAAGACACAATGTACAACAAGCAAGCATCTGAATGCAGTGCCCGTGGTGTTGTACACATCTGAAAGGTCGGAAGGGACCATGATAGTCGTCCCAGCTGCAAACCACTGTAGCTGTCATGTTAGCATGCTTAAGCAAGCAGGCCTCCAACTACTCTTCACCTGTCAAAATCGCCGGAGTCGAGATGATTGTCTTCTCAAACAACACATAGTCCAGGTTAACATGCCCACGCGAAATACGTTGTTCGAATTGACGTTGCTCCGCGGACACATGATAAGACATCGTCGATGTGAGACTCAGCCACTTAAACGCACATGAACTAGCAGCTGCATGTCATGCAGACGGATTAATAGGAGCCCATGAGTACCAGTTCTAGACTTCATGCGAGGGCCCCATCTTGGCATCACAGTGCAAAAGGCGCATCCAGAGACACACGTCAGACCAACGAGAATACGACGGAGGTACCTCTTGCAGGTCTGCTCCACGCAAGATGCCGACCGAATACTGACGTGATCTTAAGAGACACCTCGTCTCGACAGGGGCAAGCGATAGGCGCCTAGCCGTCCCGTGTCTTCCAGCCACACGAGGACAGGTGTCAGATTGCAGGCCTGTAGAAGCTGACAAAATATGTGGGGTAGCTTAGTTTGAAAAGACGCATCCCGCAAACCACGAGCAGTGCTAAACATAAGCTTCGCTTGCGAGCATGGCATCAGGTGGCGCTGTGCGGTAGTGGTAGTGCTCTTTCTTTTTTCATTACCCTGCGTTTGCTGTGCTTGGAAAAGTCAGTGTTATCGTCAAGTAATTCCCGAAACGAAAGTGGAAATGCGGAAGCGAAGGAGGGGTAAGCGGAGCAAAGAGGGCCGGAGAAGGGCCGAAGGTGGCTCGCGCAGCTCAACAAACAAACATGTATGAAGCTTGCGTGCGTAAATGTGCGTGAGGCTCTGCTCTATCCCATGCGTTTTTGCGTGTAGCGTGACATGTGATAGGCACGACGTGGCAATGGCCTATGCCGAGCGTGTGGCATCGGCATGCCGCAGAATGCGCGGTGGATAAAAAACTGCCGTCTGGCCTGGCAGCCATCACTCTGCGACAACGACGACGCTCAACGTTTTGAATGCTCCCGATCTTGACCTCTGCCAACTCCACCCGTGTTGCGAAAACGTCTGCCGGAAATTCCCCAAAAAGAGCGTCTATGCAAGTGGGCCATCCTTGTCTGGTCGACAATATCACCTCAGAATCGCGTGCGACGTGCCGCGCTGACAGAAATTTGCTGAGGGCCAAGTGCTTTCCGTATCCACACCCGTTTGCCCATCAGCCGCCCGTACGCAGCAGTAGTGCGTGGGCCCTCACCAGGCGCCATTTGAGCACACACAAAAAAAAACGAGGCCAGTGAGCGGAGCGATGGACAGTGTTGTTGTGTATCCCATACAACATGGCAGGCTGACTCGTGCGGCGTCTATTGCCTAAAGTCATGAGTAGAGACGGAGAGGCTATCCGGCTGTTTTAAGCTGAGCGTGAAAAAGAGGGTGGGGTCACAAAGTCTGGATGCAGCGAGTGCAGCCGTGATTGTGGAGAAGACAGGCAAGACCCTTGATCCAGGCGTCTGCCGAGTCAGCGACGGGCTCAGTCACCCTGCACGACATTTTAGCGCGCTTGTTGCTGTGGAGTGCGAGTACGCACTGCGGCTCGCCCGGGTCAAGTGGCCGACTGTGAGAAACTGCTCGAGACGGTACATTTCTGCGTCGATACCATGGACATGCGGCTGGCGCTGGCGTGTAGGCTTGATTGCGCGCCATGTTGACGTGCAGCTGCAGCAAACGGCGGCCTCGGGCAGGTTTCTAGTGTCGAGCTTTGTAGATGAGAAGGGGGAAAAAGGGCAGCGGCAGCAACGTTGGCCGACGTCGTCATCTTACTACAAAGATCGACGAACCATGGAAAAAGCAATTCTTAGGGACTCCATTAGTGCACCCTGGATCGGCCAGGATCGGACCCATCGCAATTGTACCGAGCCCATCGCTGCTAGTAGGGGGTGGCCACAGGACCCCCCTACACCCACGGCGCTATACGACGCGCAAGCAGTGGAGTTGACACTGCGCAACAAAACAATGACGATATCATCCCGGGCACAGGCTGTGATGACTGATGCCGTGTTCCTGGAATGAGTGCGGGTCGAGTATGCACGTGACGCGGATAGACATTGCGAATGCCATTCTGCACCGTTTGGGTATGTCCTGCTTCCCAGTTTGACCGCGAGATGGTCCGCAGCGACCGATGACCGGCCAGAGTCAGGCCATGGGCGTGCTGGTTTGGGGTGGTGATTTGCAGCTCGTGCTTGCCGCTCGATCTCGGTTCATGACCGGCTCGGCGCGAGCGCTACGTTTGACACGCCCGGGCTGTGACGTCCATCGACACGAAGACACATGGTGCTGATGAAATTTTCCTGTGGGGGGCTGCGCATGCCAGACAGGCTGCAGACAGGCTGCAGCCTGGCCATTGTCTTGTTTCCGGAACGAGAGTGTGGGTGACAAGTGCTGGTCCAGAGTTGGCCGGTCGGGAAATGTCTGGCTGTGTTTGGTGTTCCAAGGTCGCTCGCTGTGCGCGCGCACGCGAGCCAACCCCCCCAGATTCTTCGGAGCTCAGCCCTTGGCGCGCACACAGCTGATTTGCCTAACTTTCTTTGTGTGTCATACGAATGTGACATGATCATGAGCAGATGGACCACGCCGACATGCAAACGAGAGAGCCTCGCCCCGACGTGTGCACCAAAGGCAGGCCCTGGTGCAGGTGCAGGCCCAAACGGTCAATGTCGTCAGATACAGTAGTCCTTGCCTGCCAGCCCGCTACTGGCTACGAGACAGCGCAGCCATGGGCCATCGTCATATTATCCCGACATGGAAAAACTCCAATCCACTTTCGCCAGAGTATTGTAGGGTGGGGCGGTGGTGGGGACGGGGGGGGGCCATATCCCCTTGCATTGTACGTGTTACGTGCGGAAGCGTTAGTCGTCGAAGAAGGGGAAATATATGCGATCAGTGCTGAGAGCTTGCATGCAGCCCGGCAGCGTGTCTCGCGCGTGAAGCGAAAGGTGCAGAGTTTTTTTCTTCGTCTTCGGCAATTGACCCAGCTGAGCGGATGGCCATGGATGCTGACAAGCAGCAGGAAAAACATCAGGAGAGACCAAGTCAAAGAGCCGGACATGCAGGCAAGTCACGGACAGGCGCAAAGCAAGAGTGGGATTTGGCTGGGAGCGCCTCGTTGCGGCCGCGTAAATTGAGAGCATGTCTGTCATCGCGATGGAGGGGGGGGGACTCCTCTGGGCCAGGCTGGTCGGGCTAGTGCGTGTGCGTGTGGCGCTGGCGCAGGCTGCAGCTGAGCATTTGGAGAATTTCGGATCGGCAGAAGCACCAATGAAAATGTTCCGCGCCGACGAGGTATGGGGGTGCTGGGCCACAGCCCACGGACATCGAACTGCGAGTCCGTGCCTAAAGTCGTCCTGGACAGTGTGGTGCATCGGGGGCCCGGGAGTCCGAGGCGTGCAGGGCCCTTGGGTGCGACGTGGTGGTGGACGTGTGCTCAGCGAGTTGGGTGCTTGCTCGTCCTGTGTGCCGGGAAAAGTTGGGGGGTCGAGTGGGTTTCGGTGGTGAACAGGCAGCTATGACGAGAGGTGGAGAGGCATGGGCCACGGGCGGCGCCAGGCTAGGAGCAGGTAGTGTAGCGCCTGAGCTTGGTGGCTCTCTCCAGCACACAGGCCAGCGGGAGCGGGATGACAAGCATAACAATAAGGTTTCAACAAAGGGTCTTTGCCGCTCGACGTGCTGCTTCACTAAAGCAAACAAGGCCGGGGCGCTGGCGTCTGGCGTCAGCCGTCGCGGTGCGAGTGCGTGGCCGTGGGCGTGGGTGTCGTCGAGGCCGTGGCAGCGGCAACGGCACCCGTCTCCAGACGACGGCGGGCCAGAATGCTGTGGGTGGGCAGGGTCAGAAATTGCCGCAACGCACAATGATGTTTGCTGAGGGCAAGCGAAATCAAGTGTGCATGAGAAGTTCGGCGCCGGCAAGGTTTCCCTGGGGGGCGCCACTAGGGGAGCAGGTGTGTGTGCAGTCCAAGTGTGTGTGTAGGACGTGCAGCATGCAGGCCCGCTCCGCTTGAGTGGAGTGGGCGTGTCGTCGGTCGGTGCGAGAGCGCGTCGACTCTGGAGGCCCTGGCCAGAGTGTTGAGTGTGCCATGGCCGTGGCTGTGGCCGTCGACGCCGACAACCACCACCAGGCCATCAGGCCGCCGCGGCACATTGCTGGCCGCTGCACATGTCTGCTGGGTGCGGGAGGGTTGCAGCCGCGGCAAAGCCACCGTCAGCCATGGCGAGCAGCGTGTTGTTGTTGTAGTGGACGACGAGGACGAGGTGGTGGTGGTGGTGGTGGTGATGATGGCGATGGCGATGACGATAATGACGATGGCGATGATGCTGCTACTGCTGATGATGATAAAATAGTGATGGTGATAATGATGATGATGATGATGATGATGATGGCAATGGTGGTGGTGGTGGTGGTGTTGGCCGTGGCCGTAGTAGGGGCACGCGTAGTAGCAGTGGTAGCAGTGGTGGTAGTGGTAGTGGTAGTAATAGTAGTAGCAAGTAGTCGCGGTCATAGACGGAGTGGCAGTGGCAGTACACCTATTAGCAGCGGCCATGGGCGTGGAAATGGGAATAGCGGAGGCCAAGGTGCTGGTCGTGCAGCGCGATGCAGGCGGCAAGCGGCAGGCGAGAGGCGAGAAGCGAGCGGCGAGCGGCGAGCAAAGTCCGGAAGCGGAGATACGAAGTAGTCCCGGGTGGGGAGTGGCAGAGGCGACGGCCACGCCCACAGCACCAGCCCCGACGAGCGTTGACAACAAGCCCACCTACCCTCTCTTCCCCTTCCCCGTCGCCTCGCGCACCCTAGGTACATGCGGTAGATAGACACATGGCATGGGAATGGCAATGGCCCCTTCCACCTGCCGTCTTGGAGTGGTTCGTCGGGTGCATTGCCCTGCTGCCATGCCCCTCGTAGCGCGTCCCAGTCGAGATAACGTGCCGCCAACTGTCTTCGACACGGCCCAGACTCCAGATGCAGCTGCAAAGCCATCCTCCAGGCGAGAGCGGGTGATGGTTCACGCTACCTCGAGGCCGTGCAGCGCGCGGGTAGCACGCCTATGTATGTATGTAGGTGTAGGTAGGTAGGGGAGGTAGCACGCCTGACCAGGGTTGCTGCTGTGCCGCATCCAGCCATCCACCACCCATGCCTCCCTTTCCCCCCCTCCCCCCTCCGCTCCCCCCTTCATGCTGTTACTTGGAAGACGAGACGAAAAGGGACCACAGCCTGTCCTGTTGCCTTGGACTCCAAAACTTCCGTGCCATTGCGACTTTTTTGTTTCTGCATAAACTACATCGTTGGGGGGTATCGCCCAACACGGCGCACAAGAAGACGACGCTGCAAATTCGGCCATGGCCATCAAACTCCAAAACACCATGCATGATCCAACCAGGTCCCTTTTGGTGGTATCCGTGAGCTGCCGTGCTCCAAGTTATTAAGGAAAAAAAGAAGAAGAAGAATCAAAATCAAACGTGACGGCCAAACAAGCCCAAATGCTGTTGTTCTTACCCAGACACATGCCGTCGACATGTCGGGCCGACAACTTCATCACCCGCTGGCTGTTTTCGCACAACTGGCGCATCCAGATGCAGAACCACCGCGAGTGCGAGGTCGAGACGACGCTCGAAGACGACGCCAAGTATCTGCGTCAGTGCTTGCGCTGGGTCCGCTCCAACTGGAGGAGCAACCTGACTAGCTTGACCGAGGGTTACATGTGGATGGTGAGTGCTAGTTTTCCCTCTTCCAATATTTGCACAAATTTCGCGTCGTTGGCCGCCAAGCCAGCCCCTCTTTTTTTCCTTTCTCTCTCTCACACTCTCTCTCACTCACACATGCTACTCCCCCCCCCACTCGCCTACCCACTCTGCCTAGGCGGCCTTGCACGCCTGTTTCGTAGTGTTGCTAACCGTGTCGCGTGTCCAACAGAGATACCCTTGGTCGCTGTACGCCGTCTTCCAGACCACGGTCACGCAATGGGCGTTTCTGCTCGACTGTGCCCTGCTCGCCTCGGCCTACCTGGCCTTTTGTGAGGCTGGCTACTATCCAGCAGACGAGGGTCAGCTGTCGGGCGCCGACAAGTGGCAACGCTCGCTCCTGTGGGCGCTCTTTATCGCGCACTGGGTCTTTGCAAAGACGATCAAGCTAGTGCCCCATTTGCTACGGAACCCCGGCGATGTCCGCTTTGTGCCGGTCTCGATCCTGTTTGGCTATTTCCACAACCTGATCAAGCTCTACGGGTGCATAACAGTCACAGAGGTATGTGTTACCGCGCGAGTCTGGAGGGTGGGGGGCCCACGGCGCGTCTTGCCCGTGGCCCTGTTTGTTTTGTTTGTTTGCGTCAAGACGCGTACACGTTGGTGTGCATTTGTGGCTGACCTAGACGGCAATTAGACTACATGGGGCACCCGCGAGGGCGCCGATGCGGACGACAACATCAGAATGCTGCCGATCCCGCCGATGGCAGCGATTACGCCTCCCCTGACGCCTCCGCCTGGCGGACGCGTCCTCCGAGAGCGATGCGCCGGATTCCCGATGATGAAGTAGACGAAACACTTTTCTCCTCCACTATTTGGTTTTGCATTCTAGGCCGCTATCACGACGACCTCGTCGGCTGCCGTCGCCGCCGCCCGCCCGCCGCCGCCGCCGCCTCGGCGGCACTTTTGGACGGCAGTAGTTTTGTTAGACGCATGATGGGTTGATTTTGGAGCATGTCGTCGGCATTGAGGAAATGGTCGCTGCCCCACGTCTCGTGGGTGAAGCCGTAGGTGAAGTTTGGGTCTTGCAGAATCTCGGAACGGTAGGCTACGGCGCGGCCGGACAGGCAGGGCAGGCCGCCGTCTATCCAGTTGCAGGCAGTGCAGTCGAAATTCCTCCTGACCAGGTAGATGGCGCCCAAAAACTCCCAGATGTTGGAGCGGTTAAACCGGCGAATCTGCTGGTTGGTGCCGACGCCGCCGACGCGTGGGTCCTCAAAGGGAGCGAGTATCCATTTGGTGAACTTTTCGGGCAGCCAGACGTCGTCGTCGAGCAGCAGCGTGATTTTGGTCTCGACCTCGGGAATGGCGCGACACAACTGCCGGCGCTTGTTGGCCTGGCTGACGGACAGGACCTGGATGATTTTGGGGCTGCCCAGCTCCTCGACCATCTGATAGACACGCTTGACGCGCGAGTCAGGCGTCACGAGCAGCAGCTCAAAGGGCTCGAGGCGGTAGGCGCTCTGGACCGTCTCTTTCAACTGCTGGAGATCCTCGGCCACGGTGGGGATGATGACGGTCATGTCCTTGGAGGTGATTGTGGGGTCGTCGACGGGCTGCATGGGCGTGTAGGTCCAGTTGCTGGCCAGGTTGACCCATAGTCTAACATATCGAAACAAACTGCGGCAGCGAGTCAGTCAGGGCCGTGGCGAGGTAGGGTATATGGCAGGTAGGTAGAGACATGGCACGAGGCGCGAGTCGACATACAAAAGCACCGAGAAGATACACAGCCAGCTCCAATTGGGGAACAGGGCCAGGGAAAAGGGAAACATGACGGCGGCCAACGAGTGTGGTAGGGCGCAAGGGGTGACTACGACGACGACGGAGTAGGGTAGACGAAGATCACATCGAATGGTGGGAGTGAAAAGCCGCTTGCATCGGGGAAGAGGCGGAAGTGACAGGTATTTAAACACATGGTTGCGAGCGGGCTAGGGCGGCGAGGACATGTTTCGCTTCCCGGCGCTGTTTAAGCTGCATGAGATTCCCTTAGCAGACTTTGGGGTAGTGTGAACATGGCTGGAGCATGAGGTAGTCGCGAATTTCCAGAGACCGGGGGGGGGGCGTAGTGGGGGGAGGGGGGCGGGCGACGAGTCGGGAATAGCACATGCGGTCTTATGCCAAAGCGTCATCCGTGGATGCTTGGATCCCGCCAGCCGTTGAATCGCTCGCATACTCCAAGGCACCCTAGATGCAGCGCGGCCAGGGATCGACTGCGCCGTGTGCTGTGTGTTGATGACCAGGGCCACAGTGTAACCGCCCCGCGGTTGCTCCGGTGCTTTTTGCACGACGAGGGAGGGGGTGCGAGGGCACGAGACAGCGCCGTGCCAGTGCGAGGGTGAGAGCGCGCGCGCGACTGAGGTGAGTGTGCCAGTGGCTCCTTCCCTCCCCTCGCGCCGCCGCCGCCCCCCTCCTTCCCTCTGCTGCCTCCCCACTAATACACGCTCACCTCATGGCGCCATTCACTCGCGCACGCACACACACACACACGCACACACACACGCACACACACACATGCACACACACACACCCACACACATACGCTTCTCACTCACTCACTCACTCATTCATTCATTCACCCACCCACCCACACTCGCCCACTCTTACCACACTCACTCACACTCACTCACTCTCTCACTCACTCTCTCACTCACTCTCTCACTCACTCTCTCACTCACACTAACCCACCACCACCACCACCACCACCACTACTTCCCACTACACCTCCTCGCTCGCCTACTCACTCACTCGCCCGCCGGCTCACCCACCACGCCCGCCTAACACGCCCGCCCGCCGCCGCCGCCCAGGGCGCAGCAGTCCTCCTGACGCCCGCCGCAAAATACGGGCCCCCTCGCTCGCTCACGGCCATGCGGCTGATGATCGATGGGTCCTCGTCACTCTGCGACCCCGCTTGGCGCCAGACACCATCTGAGATCAAGCGCTCTAGGCCTGTCTTGCCCACTCCAACTCCTCTTTAGAGTGCCCCATGCGCTAGCCGCTGCAAGCGGACTCTAGCTGCCCGGCCGCAATGGCGACGATAGGCGCTGCCCTCAGTCTGTTGGCCGCAGGGCTGGCGTCTCCAGCTTCCGTCCGTACATTGCCCTCCCGCCACTGCCAATCCATCGCTTGCGCCCCCGGTGGTCCACGTCCGCCACATACACACCCGACGGCGGCGGCTGCCCTCGCTGTTGCCGATTGCTGCCTCTCCGTGTATCCATCTGTGTATGCATGTATCTATGTGGGGGCGCCGCCTGCGTGTCTGGCTGTCCTGGCCGCTGATCCATGGACCAAAGGAAAAAGATAATCCCAGCCAGAAAAATCGAGTAACGAAAAAAAATTGTCGTCGTATCCGGACCTCTGCACCCGAAGCAGCTTCTCCTCCCACGCTGCAGCCGCGGGGCGACGTTGGGGCCCTGGGGCCCTGGGGGCAGCCCATGTCATGTGATTCGCCGGCCTAACCTGCCCGTCGCCGCCTCCCTGGCTGCTGGCGGCTGCTGCTGCTGCTGCTGCTGCTCCTGCTTGCTGCTGCTCCAGCCATCTAAAAGCACTAGTGCCGTGTGCTTCTCCTACATGAGCCGACGGCTCTCTCGTCGGCCACATTGCCCTTTCCAGCGGCAAGTCGTCGACGGACGTGCCGCAATCAATTTCCTTTGTGCCGCTGGGGGCAGCCGCCTTGCAAAAGGTACCGTCGCCGGAACAACAAGTACCTCGTCCACGTCCGCTTGCAGCAACACCTACTTCAGGCATATGTACGACGCTGCAGAGACGGGGTTGCTGTCATGCTCTTGCAGATCCAATCCTCGGCCTGCGGAATCACTTACGCGCGCCCAATAACCTCCTTCTCCCGCCATGCTCAGAGGCTGGCTGTGCATGCTGCATGTAATATACCAAGGTGGGTGCGCGCGCGTCCATCCTGCGACCGATCCAACGACAGATGGGCTGCTGGTTGGCGCTTCCCTGCATGGAATCCTGCCTGTCAGTTCCGTCCATGTCTGCATTTAGACACTGCAAAAACCCTTTCGGACTCTCTTTTCGGGCCCCCGTTATCGTACGAGCAAGCATCCCATGCTGGCGTCGCCTTCCGATGCTCGCAACGCTGTCGTGGCCATGCTATCCAGATGCCCTACTCGCTACATGGGCCATGCAACCCGTCCAGATACGGCAAACTCACCTCCCGCCGGCGTACACCTGTCAAGACTCTTTGGGAAATTGCGTCATCAAATACCACAAGGCATGGGGGTGTGGAAGGCTGATCCTCCGCGTGCTGCGGATCGCCTGCCGCTTCCTCGCGAAGGCCAGCGCCTTGTAGCTGTTTAACATGCAGCTGCGCGCTTCTGCGCGCCATAATGAGAGGCAGGGTTCGTCCAAAGACACTGGCCGCGCATGTAGAGCCTCAAACACCACGACGCCGCTAGCAACCGTGATACTTCTCTTTCGCAGCAACCAGCACCTCTTTACTACTTGCAGTTGCAACACGAGCAGCGGGCTCGCTCTGCCCACTGACCAAATGTCGTCGCGAACCACGCACACCGCGACTGCCTCGCAGCTCGTATAGTGCTCACACACCTGGAGTCTAGCCAACTGACCTTGCTCTTTTTTCCCATGTCAAGGAGCCTTGTAAAATGTGCGCCGAACCTCTACATCGGTGACGCCATGTCTTGCATGAGGAAACGGAACCCCCCCGCGCCGTGTATATTAGTAGAAACGGGATATTGATTCAAGGCTGACCAGCCTTAAAACTTTTCACTGTCACTTGCAGCCAATGGAAATTGAACCGGCAAGCGAATTCTGTCCGACTGGTTGCCAAATATGTAACAAGGTTGTAAGAGTACAAGATAGCCATCCTGCCTTGACTCGCGCGGGATCCGCAGCATGCCTTGGACACAACTTTTGCAAAAAAAAAACAAGCTTTGCTTGGTGTCGAGCTCGACTCCCTCGCCGTGACCCAAACGGAATACTGGTGTGACAGCAACGGAACTGCCGACCAGAAGAGGCTGGTGAGTTGAGGGGGGGTTCCCTAAGACATTTCCAGGGCTTGTGATCGCAAGATCTTGCAAATCTTTTACGTCGCTATCATTGCCACAGAGATCGAGATCCCTGTCCTGTTCCGAGCAGCACACGACTACGCCTTTTGAGATTGCTTGCAAAACAGAAGGGCATTGGCCAAGCAAGTGCTTTACGGAAAGTGTCGCGGCTTTTTGTCGAGTATCTAGCGTCGCTTGTTGAGCCATGTGTACAATTGTCAACATGCACAGTCAACCGTCCTGTCCTGTCCGGTCAGTGATAACTCAACATGGCCCTAGTCCATCGGATGCTGCTGCTGCTGCTGGTGATGATGGTGATGATGACGATGGAGAGAGACGCAGTCCAGCCTTGTCGCCTACCGCGCGCGCACAGATCCGGCCGGTGTCAGCAGGCAGGTCTCTGGGGTGCACATCTGCTGGAGTAGGCCGGGTATCGCCAGTAGCTGCTATACAAAGCGCATAGGGTCGACTTAGCACGGCAGGCAAGTGGTGGTTGCTGGCCTGGCGAGCTACACTCAACTAGACGGCTAGCGCTGGACAGTCACATGGGGTGCTCTATTTCACACCCTGCGCACTACCCACTGGCAGCATGTATTTAGCGACGGGCTCAGCCAAGCGCACAGCGACATGGTAAGCACCAGCGCCTGTAAGGGTCAGATTTTGGCAGAAGCGCCGCACGCCTCTCAGCGCTGGGGCCAGGGTTGTGAGCGCCATCCCTGGAGGCCTGCCTAGGACTGCGGTATTTGTTCGGATCGCCCGTCTCCAAATGCTCTAAACACTCTGGGGGGCGGGCACCCTTGCCCTGTTCGTTCCCCACACACTCACACCATCCTGCTGCCGAGCTATCGATGGACTCAGACGTCATTCCGTTGGCACTGCAACAGCCCCCCCGGCTGATCACTCGACCCACGGCCAAGGGGGTGAGCAAGAGAGAGGGGCGCGCGACAGCTCCCAGCTGCTGTTTTCCGTCGTCTACCGCATCGTTCCAGCTGTCTGGCCAGCCCCTTCGGCCGTACCGCCACGGCTGCTGGCCTGTCTCGAATGATATGGATTATCTCCCGCACTACCGGAGATTGAGGGCCGCTGCAACGCAACTCTCACAGTGTTGGGGCCAGGGTGGACATGGATGTCATTAACCACATCTGCAGCCATCTGCAGACTCCTAGCCGCTCCATCGCTCGGAGGGCCTCAAGGCTGGCCGGACAGCCATGATCCTGCTTACCTTTCGCGAACGGTGTGAAAAGCCCTTAGCTGCATCCTTACCAGAGGAACTTTGGTAAGCCCTCTTTCTTGTCTTTGTTCGTCTGCCACCCCCCTCTTCCCCCCCCCCTTCCATCGGCCGCGTTCGAGCCGATTACACTGCTACGACCTTCAAGTGGATTCTTGTTTTTTTTTTCAGTCAACGTCGACCCAAGCCTTTTAGTTGGTGGGCAATTACGTCGACCCTCTGTAGTGGGGGGGAGGCCCAGTGGGACATGGCAATCTGGCGCAGTGTTTCGCCAGGCCACACGCACCCCCATTACAAAAGTTTTCTAAGCGATGCGAGCGATCGACGAATAGAGGATCAGGCGATGTGCCCTTGATGTCGTGCATACGGCACGCCACGCCGCTGTGGTTTACCGAAAAACAGCGTTAGCTTGGCAGGTCTGACAAGGCTCAAATTTCCCTCCCTCAGAATCAACTGACTGGTCTCCCCCAGGCTGGACTCTAGATTGACCATCGAGATGATAAGCCCATGCGTATACAGAAACTTTCTGTGGCAATTATCTACGCATACTGCTTATGCCCTCGTATCGAACAACGCCTTTTTTTCAGTCGGCCGCGCGTCGGACCCATGCGAATATGCATGCAGCAGCATCCAAGCAGACATGCCTAACAGGTCTAGGCCCTGTCGAATATCCTTGAAGCCTTTCATCGCAGATGCTGCCCTCTTGCAGATTTTTGGAGCACAATCTCAGCCTTTGGAGCATTCTTATGACACCTGTCCATTGCTGCAACCCCCTGGATTTGCAAACAGAAGCGACGCCATGAAGCGGCAAATAGAGCTTCAACCATGGTTTGCAGACCATGTGCTCGCATGTCAAACTTACTATCCAGCAGCACATGTCGATTGGTCATGCAAAGATCCGGGGTCACACCAGCCACACATTTCGCATTTTCACGTGTCACATATTACGAGGGCGTTTATCGGCTCACTCCGCAGCCACACAGACACGCTACCGTTCTATCCTATCCGGTAATATAGTGCTAGCAGCAGCGTGCATGGTTTGTGTCGCATCACTTATTTCCCTTCCTATCTGTGGTATGTATGGGAAAAAGGGTCAAGTGATAAGAAAGCCTTTGGACCACCAAATCGGCAGGTCCATTATTTACAAGCTAGACAACTAACGAAGAGGCTATACAAGGTCCAACCCTCCTGTTGCGCGCAGCTCAGCACACCACTTCCAGTATGAGAGGGATTACACACATACACGCACATACCAGGGTAGCCATTCGAGGATACGAGGCTAGGAATGCAAGACACTTTCTAACCAGGATCCAGCTCTCGCCTTTTTTCCCCTCTTTGCAACTTGAGTTGCACAACCGCCGCTTTTATTTAGGAGAACGTGGGTGATTTTGCTTGGTGGTGCAGCGCAGGCACAATAGGGGGGTTTCTTCTGCTCTCACGATCCTGCTGTTACCCGCATCCATCGCCACCTGCGGATAGTGTTAGACGCGCCAGGCGACCATAAATACCTTTGGGGCCCTAGATCATCTGCGAGGATCACTGCAGCAGCCTTGGAATTGCTGCTGGATGTCGACTTGCATGCTGGCGAGAAAAGCAAAGAAAAAAGATTTTTTTCTTCTTCTGCCAGACACACCTACACACACTCGCATACACATGCATACACACACCCTCCCAAGACTGGCCTGCAGGCCAGTAGCATCATGCAAGGCTGTAAGTAGGGGTGTCATTGGCCCCGAGGGAATTTAGGCTGCGAGACGCGGGGGGGTTGTGTGTGTGGGACGAGGCCACAAGATCCATTCAGGCGTGATTTCTGGGAACGGCCCATCGGCAGACCCCTTGGCTATTTTCCAGTAAACAAATTCGATGGAAACGCATCCCTGGCGTTTTTTGAAGTTCCTATCTCGTCCTAAATTCCACACCCACACCCACACCCGTACTCACTGCCGATTCGCAGCCTGATGCAGATTCTGGTCACTACCAGATTATACAGAGTAGATAGGAAAGATGAAGAGAAAAACTTGATCATACTCTCCTGTTTCTCTTTCTCTTACTCACTCGCTTTCCCAACACTCTTCTTACCCGCTTTTGCCCCTGTAAATCACACATGCACATATAGCCCTTGCCCACCGGATGCGACCCCTTGCTGCATAGCCGACATGGGTAGCAGGGTAAGTGTAGGGTAGGGTAAGGGTAAGGGCCCCCCGACGCCGCCCCTTGCGATCAACCCATGATATCCATGTTTTTTTTTTCTTTCTTTTTTTTGCCCTTTCGCAAGACACCCGCCGACCCACTAGCATAAGCACAAGAGCACAAGAAATCCATCCACTAAGCCGCAGGTGCGCCACACGATTCAAACAAGGGAAGGAAAGGCGAGCAATGCTGCAGCCCTTGTAAAAAAAATATATCCAAGAAGAAAATACAAGACGCGGGATTGGGTGGCGGAGGCTAACGCCGGACGGGGGTGTGGGTGTGGGTGTGGGTGCGCTGCAGTCGGGGGACTTGGGCGTGTCCGTAGTAACTTACACATGTACACATGTACATGCTTGCTGTAAGTGCACACATATGTAGGATTTTTCCTGCGTTTTAAACACGAGTATACAAGTGCGAGTGGGAGTTGGATCCACTGTTTACTGCTGCTCGTCATAATACATACACGTACATACATGTAGGGGTGGGAACACAACTAGTATCTAGTGTGAAGGCAAGATGGATACAGAGCAGAAGTACATGGTCGTAGGTGTACAATTAACAGTCAAAGTGGGTTTGGAAGAACCACATCCACTCACTTAACCCACCCACCCACACACTTACATACACACAGACACATACATACATGCACGTCACGCAATACTCGCATACACACACACACACACACACACACACACACAACACCCGTGTCCATGTCTGTGCCCGCACACACCCGTCGCCATCCCTTGTCTTCCCTTGTCTTCCCCACCCACCCACCCACCCACACCCAGTGTCAGCCCAAACTCCTGCCCGCAGCTCACCCGAAAAAGGAAGAAATAAGAGCCCCACTCTCTTGTTCGAGCTTTGCTGTTCAGCGTGGCAATGTTGAAGAAAACACTCTGGTGCGCAACAACAACAACAACATTATTTGAAAAACTACGTGCTGGGGAGGAGTATTTTTTTTTCTTTTTGGAGTGTTTTGTGATGTAGTAGCGAGTTGGGTCTTTCTAATGCTGTTTATCTTTGCGGTTAGGGGGGGGGAGGTAGGTGTGTTTGTACGTATATCTAGATATGAATGTGAATGTGTACATGTAGCGGTACATGTAGCTGTACATGTACATGGAAGTCACTGCAACGCATCCATTGGCTCTCCATATCTGTATGTCTATGTTCATGTATGTACCTTATCCGAAGGCGTACTTACTTACCCACCCACCCCCCTTGCCTCCTGCCCCCCCCCCCGCTGTGTGGCTTTTTTTCTTCTCTTTGTATCTTAGATTCTTAGATGCGAGGTGAGGGGGGTAGGGGGGGTTAGGGGGGGGAGAGGCGCCGCGGGCTCCGAGTACGTTACTTTACTTTAGTTTACATAACTTTATTTACTCCGAGTACTTGTATATTTACTCCGGCTTTTTTTTTACTCCGACTGGACTTTTTTCTTTTCTTTTCTTTTCTTATGTACATGCGTGCGTGCTTGCTCGAGTCAGGCATTAAAAAAAAAGAAAAAAGAGATACGGGAGTGTGCAAACGGGGGGCTGAGGAAGTCGTACTAAGGGTAAGGTAAGGTAAGGTACTGGCTGGAATGGAACGGAGGCGAAATTTTTGTATTCGCCCGCTTTCGGGAATAGCCGTGCTGGACTCGTGGACTTTGTTGTTGTTGTTGTTGTTTTTTCTTTTTCAGGGGGTAGGGTCACCGACTCGCGTGCATGCTGCAGGCGTTGGAGGCGGCGTCTTGGGGCGGGTAATGATATACTACGGGGATTCAGTTCGGAGGGCGCCGAAAGCTAGGCTGAGTGGGGAAGGAAGGAATGGAAGGGTGCAAGGATTGGTATTTTATTTTACGGTTAAGAAAGTAGGCTCGGTATTGGGTTGGATTGGATGGTGGAAATGTGGGCTGGAGGAACTTGCTTGTTTTGGTATGTCGGTGCAGAGAGGAGGCATCATGGTGGAATCAAGTTGAGTGAGATTGTAGAGAATTTGTATAATCTTGGAGAGTGAGAGGGGGATGGATACGAACGAGTCAGCTAGTTGATTAGTTTATTAATGCAGTGAGCAAGCCGTGGAGTGTAAAGGGCGTAGAGACATACTCTTATTCACAGACACATTTGATAATTACAAGAATGACGTGGGTGTATGTACTTGTAAACTTGGTAAAGTGCCCGTGGATTTACATCAGAGAGCAAATTATATACAAGGGGGTGCCAGTGTCAATGTCTGAGGGTAACTATGCATCAGTGAGTGGTATACACAACGCTCTCTTCACACCCCCTGAATACCCAGAAACGAAAGAAGCCTGCTACCTCGGACCTGCAAATCGACCCGTCTCTCCTCCTCGCCGCCAGCGACGCCGCCATTCTCCCCGTCGCCGAATACCCAAGTCCGCAACACTACCAACCCGGCCAATACCAGCTCACGCCCCAGCGCTCCCTCGACCACTACCAACACCAATACTACCCCGCCTCCAACATCCCCATGCCCCTACCCGTCTACTTTCGCCTGCACCCCCACTCGTCAACCCCCTTGCCCGCAAAATCCATCTGGCTCTCCATTCTCCAGGCCCCGTCTGTAACACAGCTGCGTGACCTCGCCATGCGTGAACATCCGGGTACCGTAGTGCATAAGCTCGAAGGCTTGGTTTTGCACAGAGCTGCTGGTGCTGGTGCTGGTGCTGGTGCGGGCCAGGACGGCAGAGACGTTGTTGTAGATATTGCGAATGATGAGGAGTTGGGCGCGTATTTGACGCATGCGAAGAGTAGTAGTGAACAGGGCGCTGGGCAGGGGAAACCGACGTTTCTGGTGCTGTTGGGTCCGGGTGAGGGGGCTTGTTATGTTTAGGAGAGTTTTTTTTTGGGGGGGGGGTCGGTGTTTTGCTGAGAACTTGAGATTAGTAGGGTGATTTGAATGTAGATATTGCAAGTGAGAGTTATAAATGAATTTTATGGTTGGATTACCTTTTCTTTAGTGAAGGCGCGGCTGTGTAGGTTGTTTCCGGGAGTTCTTCACGGCTGAGACTTGTGTGCGGTCTTCTCTTGTTGCCGAGTATTGTTGGATGTGGAGCGACAACAGGCGGCGCGGGACCTGGGCCTGGTCCTTGATGAATCTGTCGCTTCTTGCTGGGATCTTTGGATGTCCTCTCCTGTTGTTTCCTCTTCATCACATCTCGAGCCAATACTTCGAGGGCTTTCAGCTTCTGCGCATAGTCCGGATGGTCTTCGCCTTGTGCAAGCGCCCTGACGAGATACTCAGACTCATTGACCCAAGCCTGCTTCAACTCTGTCCAGTGTGCTTCGCCCGCCTCGTGTTTGTTGGTGAAGTGATCTGTCCTCAGCTTCTCGGCAAAGGCGCTTCGTACATGTCTTGTCTGCTCGGGATTCAGTCCGAGGAGATTCTTCGCATCCGCCAAAGTCATGCGTGTATCCATGGTCCGTAGCCGCTTCGTGACATCCATGCATATCACATCTATTGACAGTGCCCGCTGGCCTTTTGGCCGAAACAACGCATCGTGACTTTGCAGAACTTCGGGCTCCTGCTCAAAGACTTCTGCCAAATGTGCATTCTCTTTGATCAGCTGCTGTACTATCTGCGCCCACTTCTCCGGTCCAGCAACCGTCTTCTTGACGACCTCTTGTGCCTTGCACAGTTCAAGAAAACACTCACGTACTTGGCGGTACATGTCATTGTCTAGGCCAAGATACGCCTTGGCTTCGTCGATTGTCGTTTCAGACGGAAATCGAGGAGGCTCGCCAGGCGCATCAGCTGGTAGTCCTGCCCAGCCGCGAGTTCGACGTCGTCGTTTCCGCGTACGCCATTTTTCATCACTCTCGGCCTGGAGCTGTTGCTGACGCAGTTGTTTTCGAAGCGCCTCCTCTGGACTCAGGCCTTCGGTGTCGGGATCGGGTATGATGGGTCGTGCTTCTTCCGAAGGCTCTTCGGGCTGCTGCTCAACCTCGCTGTCATCTTCACTCGTAGAATCTGCCAGTATCGCGTTCCCCAGCTGATTGATGAGCCCTCTGTTCGAAATGACCTTGGCCCTCTCCTTCTTCGTTTTCTTTTGTATCCGTCCATCGGCGCTGGTCGTCTTCTTCGATCTAGCGAAACGCCTGCCATAGTTTGCCGTCATAGTCCGTTTTTACCGCGTCGCGCCACCCCCCCCCCCCGCCATGGTGTATTCCTGGGACGATAAGGAGGCCGTGTGCTATCGGCTGTATGTGGAGGAGCGCAGGAGTCTGGAAGAAGTGATATCGTATTGGGAGGCCCGGGGCTTTACCCCAAGGTAGGCTGCATCCATTGCTGCGCCGTGTACCTACCGCCCATCACCATGCTGACGATATTTCCCCAGCAAGCGGGCGTTTCAGACGCAGTTCAAGGTGCGTCGCCAGTAGAGAGCCAGATTCCACGACAATTGACACAACGGCAGCGATGGGACTTTCCGAGCAAGCAGAATCCCGCACACAAGAACCCCGCCCTCGTCGCGCGGCTGCACCAGCTATGGGAGCAGAACTACACGCAAAAGGACATGGTGGATACCCTGCAAGCTGAAGGCTTCAGTATCAACGACCGCGAGTTGCTCCGCCTACGACTCAGACTCAAGCTTTTGCTCAGAGAGAGCGTTTCGTCGCTTGCGCAGTTTGCCAAGAAAAGGGACCGTTGGCCTCGGCATTCGATGCACCGACGGGCCAACGCCGACCTCCTCGGATCTACCTCGCCATTTTGCGCATAGCGGCATGTACCTAGACTTATGGCCCTATCTACGAGGGGGGGTGGGCGGTAAAGGCACCCGGGTCTCCCGCCGCGTGAGAAACTGAGACTGTACTTTGCATTGTATCCTTCTGCTGTCGTTTCGTTCTTTGCATACCTTGTGCACCCCACCGTCCGGCATCTGCATCTGTCCTCGATACCCCACACCCCACATTAAACCCGACCATGTCGCACGCCCGCAAGAACAGCCTGTGGACGCCTCCGGTGCTGCCGGTACCGCAGCTGCTGTCAGGCAAGTCCATGATGATTACCGGTGGTGTCACGGGCATCGGTCGAGCCATTGTCCTCGGATACCTGCAGCATGGTGCCAATGTTGCTGTGAACCACCTAGGCGACGACAAGTCGCGCTCGCAGTACCAGAGCCTGGTCGAGGAGGCCGCGGGAAACCTAGATATTAGCAAGGAAGATGTGCAGAAGAGGCTGGCCGAAGTCCCCGGAGACGTAGGCAATCCAGAGACAGGCAAGAAACTCGTAGCGACAGTCGTGGAGCGCTGGGGCCGCTTGGACGTTGTCATCAGCAACGCGGGCGTCTGCGAGTTCAAGGAGTTTCTTGAGTGCGTATAGAAACTTGCCTCTACTCCTTCACATTCAATCTCCTTGCTCCGCGAAACTAACGCCGATAATAGTATCTCCGAAGACCTCTGGGCCTCGACCCTAACCACCAACCTCACAGGCGCATTCCACACCATCCAGGCCGGCGCACGACAAATGTCTACACAATCGCCGCCAGGCGGCTCGATAATCGGCATCTCGTCCATCAGCGCGCTCGTCGGCGGCGCCCAACAGGGTCACTACACGCCTACAAAAGCTGGCGTCCTCTCGCTCATCCAGTCGTCGGCGTGCGCGCTCGGCAAACACAACATTAGGTGCAATGCGCTGCTGCCGGGCACAATCAAGACACAGCTCAATGAAAAGGATCTGGCGGATGAGGAAAAGAGAAAGTACATGGAGGGTAGGATACCGCTTGGTCGCACCGGCGTCCCGAGTGATCTCGCTGGTCCAGCCGTCTTCTTGGGCAGTGATTTGAGTGCCTATGTCAATGGCGCTCAGCTTCTGGTTGACGGTGGGCTGTTTGTAAACTTGCAATGATTGTGCCATGAGGAATTGAAACAGTTGAAATGAATGATTATGAAAGGGAGATATAGTGACTGAAATTAGATGTTTTGACTGCAGCAAGAAGACCGAGTGGTGATGATCTCCTTCAGGAGACATGTGGTTGAGTATTCCTGTCTGCTTCTTGCACTGCCAAGTCACCGAATGCAGGGTAATATGTGCAGGATTGCATTTGACTCTTTTTGGTATAGTCGAGTCAGGACTTCGTGAAGCTAAAGTCATGCGAGATAAATGATGCAAAGTCAATGTAAATGTCTCAAACAGGCATGCCGTTCCGTGGAACTCCCATTCTATAATGGGTATCGTGCAAACTCCGTCGCTATGATGCCATGATAACGCCAGTGAACCAGAAATGCCACAACAAACGTGATGCCGCCTCGCGGCTGGAACGCTCAAACCATAGCCAGAATTAAGTCACCTGTGATGTGTCAGAACTATTACGATATACTCAAAGTATGGGACATGAAGATCCCAGTCAGTGGATTCACTTACCTCGGCAATGTTCTGGCGCTCAATGTAACTTTCTTGGTTGACATCCCTGCCCACACGCCAATACACATCCGTATAGTCGGCGCAGTTCATCTCGCGCAAGAATTGTTCGTCGTGCGTGATGACGAGCAGCTGAAAGTTTGCCTGCTTCCGCCGACTCTGGATGATCTGAGACAAGGACTCTGCGAGTCCCTTGATGTTCTGCTGATCGAGATTCGTGGTCGGTTCGTCGAGCGCAATCAACCCACAGTTTGTACCAAAACATTCAGCCAGTGCCAGACGAATAACAATGGAAGCGAGGACCTTCTGGCCGGCAGAACAGCGCCCCCGCATGTCCATCTCGGTGTCTTGCTTGACCATCACAACACGGTAGTTGTATGTCCGGTTGCCTTTTCCGTCACCATCAGAGGCAATGCGGATCGTGTCAACGTCCGTACCCTGGTATGCATTCCGCCACAGTTCGGCAAGGATACGATTGATTTCCTCCATCTTGAGCGTGTGGTACTTCATAATGGCCTTGTCTAGAGCGCCAGCATAACGACCCAGGTCTTCAATGGCAGCCTTGGTAGCCTCGACCTTGATGTGTGCTTCACGGTACTGCTCTGCAGAGTCTTTGTAGAGATCCTTGTACTCGTCCATGAGCTCTGTTAGCTGATCGTCTTTGTTCTTCATATCCCGCTCAACGCCCGTTTTTTCAATGTTCAGTTGGCGATATTGTAGGTCCCAGTGCTCGGCTTCACGCTCGTAGTGCTCCTTGTCGCGCTCGGCACCCTGCTCTTCGAGCTTTTGAATCTCAGCTTCTAGGCCTTCGAGGGAGCGCTTCGCCTTTCGGTAACGCAAGTTGTCACTAATGGAGCGTTTGCTGGCCTCTGTGTCTCGCATCGTGTCTTCGATCTTTTTAATCTTTCGAGTCACATCAGTCATGCTAGCTTCTATGCGTGCAATCTCACCCTGGAGATTCTCAATCTCTCGGTGTGTGTTAGCAAGCTGGTCCGGGCCGCCACGTTCAATGTAGGCAGCAATCTCCTCATTAGCCTGGTTGAGCTGGCGAAGGCTGTCCGACAACTTGGAGGCTTCATCATAGGCACGCTGAACACGGTCGTTGCCACGGCGATTGATGTCATCGTATTTGTACTGTGCTTGCTCAATCTCAGGATCAATGTTTGCAATATCCTGGTCAAAAGTGTGCATGGCTTCTCGTTGTTTGCTGTTCTCTTTCCTTAACTCGTCCACGCGGTCGGTAAGAGCCCGCTTCTCTTTCAGCTTGGACTGAGCATTGTTCAGCTCGGCGCTGATATCACGTACACTCAGCTCAAGTGTATTGATCTTACTGCGAAGCTTGTCTCTATCAGCAGTAAGCTGGTCCAATAGGTTTCTGGCATCGCGGCCATCATCAGACACCTGCTTGAGGTCGGTCTGAATAACATCAATACCCCGCGAGAGCCCGGCAGATTTCTGCTTTTGTGCCAGTTCAGTGATCTCGGCTTCAAGTTCCTGTGCCCTTGTGTAGTACCCCACAATGGTCTGTACCTCCTTTGTCAGAGATTCGACTTCTTGCTTTGCAGCCTCCAGCTCATACACAACAGCGTCCTGATTTTCGAGTTGCTTGTTGAGCGTGTCCCGCTCAGCGGTCAACTTAGCAAGGTTCGCTTGGATTGCGGGGATTTCAGTGTTACGTAGACGAATCGCCAATTCATAGCTAGGCTTGGCGTTGCGGGCAGCCTCCAGCTCAGCAAAGACCACATCCGGATTGTCCGCTTCCATGTTTTTCTTTGCTTTTGCAATAATGTCCTTCAGTCCCTTTATGAAGCCAGCCGTTGTGAAGTCTTCCTCGTCATCATCATGAAGAGTCCTCTTGCATAGTCTGCAGATGTTGTGCTGTTCGGCATACTCTAAACATTTACTCATGTAGTCAATCTGTGCGTCAAATTTGGCCTTGTCTGAGGAGATGGCCTGGTACTCTTCTTCAAGCTCTTGCAAAGTCCCATCAAAATCTGAAATATCGTCCTTTTGTATGGATTCCTTGACCGTGGTCTCGTATTTTTCGAGTACAGTCTGCTTCTGCTTCATTTGCGATTCCAGGCTGGACATTTGGAAATTGACTTGATCCAACTTGGTCTGCGCAATGTCGCGGCGCGATGCAGCCTCCTTTGCTTTATCCGCTTTTTCTGAAAGCACCTGTTGGAAGGTTGTTTCCAAGGTGGTTGGATCCCAGTCTGGATCAACAAGCTGGGAAAGACGCTCGTTGTGGACTCTCTTCATGGTCGCTAAGCTGTGTTGCTGGCTATGCAGCTCGTCCCGCTTGACATCGATAGAGGCAGATTCCCGAGCCTGCTTTGACGCGTTGCCAAATTCAGCCGTCAGGCGCTCTTTGCGGTCCTCCAATGCTCGTAGATTGGCCGAGGCTTCTGATATGCGTTCCTCATAGCGCTCAGAAGCAGCTGAAGCCACCGCATCTTGCAATTGCTTCTCGACATCCCGCTTCCTGTCTTGCAGAATGGCCTCGCTGCCTTCGTCCGCCTTGATCTGGTTCACGGTCCTTTGAAGCTCGGCAATGCGTTTGTCGTTGCTCGTGATCTGACTGCGGGCAGACTCTTTGCTCTGACACAGTCCAGATTTGCGTGTGTTCAGCTGGTTGAGAGCCTCTTGGGCTTCACGGAGATCACGCTGGGATTCCTCGCGTGCTCGATCGAGAGTCTTGTTCTGGTCGCGGGACATCTTGGTCAAGATCTGCTGAAAGTCGGCCACCTGCTTTTCCGTGATGGCATAGTCGAAGCCTCGGATAGCATGTCGCTTTGCAGCTTCCTTTATGGAATTCTCACGATATTGGATCTGCTGCTCGTGCTGCTCTTTTTGTGCCTCGTATTTTCCAATCTCGCTCTGCTTTGCTCCCAGGGCATCCCGTCTCTCTTCCAGCTTGTTCTTCAGTTCGAGATATTGCTCCTTGAACTCTGTGACCTGTGTGGAGTAGGTCGCCACTCGCTCCTCGTACTGGTCTAGCATGTCCTGCAGCTCTTCATCCGATTCGGCCAGCTCTTTCAGATTATCCTGCAGCTCTGCCACGTTCTGCTGGTTGATGCCGAGCGTCATGCGCTTGGCGTCTAGTTGCGCGACAATCTGCTCGAAACGGGCGGCATGGTTGAAGGCGTCGCTCGCCTTCTGCTGGGCCTCTGTGCATTTTGCATCGACCTGTGTGTATGTCTCGCGCAGCTTCTCGATCTCGTCAAACAGCTTGGCCTGCCTGTCCTCGCTCTTCTTTGCGCGTGATTTGTCCTCCTTGGCATTGGCCTCGATTATCTTGAGCTGGCCCAGGTCGACGTTGCGGGCTTTCCGAATTAGCTTGATGTTCTCAATGGCTTTTGTGTACTTGAGGGCCTCGAAGATTTCATCAAACTTCTTCTTGAGGGTGGTGGCGTCGGCCAATGGCCACAGGCTGTCTTCCTGGTGGCAGAAGATGACGTTTTCCAGGATGGCTTTGGAGACGCCGAGATACTGGGGGATGATCTGGTCGAGCTCGGCGACGCGGGTCGAGATGGAGTGCTTCTCGCCGTCCTTGATCATGAGCAGCGAGCCCTCGAGCGTCTTCTGGCTGCGGGCGTTCTTCTTGACCGTCACCTGCAGGTTGCGCGTGGCCACCATGCGCACGCCCGAGGTGGAGCGGAAGGACAGCTTGACCTGGGCGAGCAGCTCCTTCTCGTTGCGCAGCTTGGGGTCGTGGATGAAGGCGCCGCCGGTCCTGCTGTTGGCGGGCAGGTCGCCGGTGGTGGCATACTTGAGCGACTCGATGATGGTCGTCTTGCCGGAGCCGTTCCAGCCGACGATGAGGGTCAGCGGGGCGGTAAAGACGATGGTCTCGCCTTTTTCCGGGCCGAAGGAGCGGATGCCCTGGATCATCATGCGGTCGATTTTGGACATGGCGGCGGTGCGCGCGCAGGGCGGCGGGGGCACGCTGGGCTGGGGGGAAGAGGGGTGGTGGTGATGGTGGAGGTGGTGGTGGTGGTGCAGTGTCGCGACGTGCCCCCCCCCCCTTGCAGGCAGACGCGGCGCGGCGCAGGCACAGGCACAGGCACAGGCACAGGCACAGGCAGCAGCGGCAGGCTTGGCGACGCGGTGTCACGTGAATGGTGACGTAGGTGTGAGCGGCCCGAGCAAGCATTATGGCTGGAAGCGCCGGCGATTGCTCCCCAAGCGCAGCCTTGCCGGTGAGGACAGCAGGCCGTCATGACAGGCGCCAGATGCGCACAAACACCATCCCCTCGCTCCTCCGCCCGGGCAGACGCCCCGTGCCTATCGCCTCCTCGCTGCCCTCGTCGTGTACGACCCCGACACTGCCACCGCATGCAGAGCTCGCCGGCTGCGGTGCACCAGAGACGCCATGGCGCAATACCCGAACGGCGGCGCTGAGGTACGAGCGACCCCCACTTGCTGACTAGCCATGCAATTCTGAGAAATGGTGTTCTGTAGATGGGCCTCAACTCCATGGCTGGGATCCCGATGCACCCGCACCGTCCGGACCTCAACGGGCTGCCAATGGACGATGTGATGCAACACATGGATTTGGACATGTCCTCGCTTGATGGGGCCGAGGGCCAAAACGGCGCCTTCGCCTTTGCCGACCCGCCAATGCACCAGTCGACCGTACCACCCAACAGCACCATGGGCACCGAGATGCAAATGACGGGCGCGGGCGCAGGCCCGCTGCCCACGGGCTTCGGCGCGCCCAACATGAACCCCTCTGGCAGCACCCTGACCGAGTTCACCAAGCGCCGCAACTGGTCGCAGCGCGTCCTCGAGGAGCTGCGCGACCTGCTGCACATCCTGACGCCCGACGGCCGCATCCTCTATGTCTCGGCCTCGTGCAAGGTGCTGACGGGCTGGGAGCCCTCGCACATCATGGGCCGCTTCATCAACGAGTTCATCCACCCCGACGACATTGGCATCTTCGTCAAGGAGTTCAACGAGTCCATCGCTTCCGGCAACCCTCTGCGCTTCTTCTACCGCTTCCGTAAGACGGACGATACATGGATCATCTTCGAGTCCCACGGCCACCCGCACCTCAGCAGCGACACAAACACGTTTGCACCACCCAACTCGATCAATTGCCGCGGCTTCTTCATGATGGCCCGCCCCTATCCGACCAAGAACGCCGCCCTGCTCGACTCGTTTCTCGAACACAAGATTGAAAACGAGCGCCTCATGAAGCGCATAGCCGAGCTCAAGCGCGAGGAGCAGGACGAGCAGGACGACTGGGTCCGCAAGGCCGAGTGCGCCACGGCTTCGATGACACCCTCGGAATCCCACGTCACCCAAACCATGAGCCAGGCCGATGCCGTCTCGTACGCACAAATGCCCCCGCCCGCCAAACCCGTCATATCCAACACGGCCCTCACGCGACAGAACCTCGACGAAGCCCTCGCCGCAAGCAAGCCCGACAGCATCAACGACAAGATGGCGCGATATGAGGGCGCAAACCACCTCGAGACGATTGAAATGCTGACGGGGCTGCGCTACAGGGATGGCGAGCGCTCTCAGGGTATCAGTACCGGCGATGTCAGTCCCAACCTCATCCGTGGCGATGCAGGCATACAAATATCCCTGGATCGCGACGGCAGAAACTCGTCGGACAAGAAGAAGAAACTTAAAATTGCCGATGAATATGTGTGCACTGACTGTGGCACGCTGGACTCGCCTGAGTGGCGAAAAGGTCCAAACGGGCCAAAAACACTATGCAATGCTTGCGGATGTAAGTGCGCTTGTTGCAAGTACATGGACGCGGTACTAACATGGTACAGTGCGATGGGCAAAGAAGGAGAAGAAGAAGCAGCAAGGCACAAATTCCAGCATGCCGAGCGGCAACAACAGCATGATGCACACACCAGCCATGCCTATGCACAGCAGCACGGGCAGCAGCTGAGCGTCATGGAGATTGATCTCTACCGACTACGTATTTTTTATGTCTTCGAGTTCAGCATGGAATCAGGGGTTTGGTCTGGATTTAATGCGGCGTCTTGGGCAACGGACATGTTGGTCATTTCTTTTCTACCGGGCTACATGGGTGGGCATAGTAACGGCGTTGGACTGGGTACATATGGTTGTTTTCATTGCAGATTGGCAGACAATTCCCAAGACCATGTATACTGTAGAAGCGGGCTGGGCACGTGATACCACTTGGTTGCTGCATATCAACAGCGACAATATAGACACTGTATTTGTCTCTATGAGTGTAGCTTGCCACGTTTGCAAGAGCCAGCCGGCCGAGGAATCATGGTTGGTGTGGAACATTGATGTTGTACACATATACACACGTAGTACGGGAGGGGGGGCAACGGTGGGAGACAGATGGACGCAGCCGACGCACGCACAAAGGCCAGCGAAAGCGGTCGAATGCGCAAGAATGCCACAATGCGTAAAAGAAGAGTCACGACGTGCTTTCAGCACAGACACCAGACGCCCGCCCATGAATCACGCGCTCTACCCAAACGAGCCCAAGCCCGGGCCTTTTGCTTTTTCCATGGGCCTTCTGCCCCCAGCCCAAGACACGATCGCAGTACTGCATCTCGATCGTTTTACCCGAAAAAGAGGCCAGCCCCACATGCACACACACACACACTCTCTCTCTCTCTCTCCCAGCCCCCGCTTCTGCCGCTAACCCTCAAACACAAAAAAACACAGACTTTGGATTACCCGGGCATTTTTCCCGCATTGAAAAGAATACGACGGCGCCATGGACGTATGTACAGCTGTGAGTCTAAGCACCCTTGCTCTACATACATGCAACTGACACGGAGCACAAAGTAACAGCAGCAGCAGCGAAACCCGCCGTCCAGCTACCACGCAGCTTGCCCCCTGTTTCCCATACCGACCCCCCACCCAATCAGCTACCCTCCACTCCCATCTAGGTGTAGGAGAAGCTTACTCTGGCGATACCTCCCGCGCGCGCCCGATGAGTAATCTGCAGCCTCCTACTTAGTTTGCCAGGGACCCGCAAACTAAGTACATTGGTGTACATGCTACGGAGGGTTTCTCTTGCTTAGGGCATATATGTACATGTACGCGCTATGTCTATGTACTATGTATGTATGTATGTATGTAGGTGTATACTTAGTTACGGTGACCATGACCGTGACCAGGGTAGAGCACCGCAGAAACGAGAATAAAACGCCACTGACGTGGTGGCGGTGGGCGCTTCCTTGCTGCAACGCTAAGTCATGGTCTCCCCCCCCCCTTTTTTTCATTTTTGTTGTTTTAACTACGACTTGGAATGCTGGACGTGATTTGGTGTGTGGATGTGTGTGGATGAGAGAGCAGGTTGGCGAGGTCAGGTGAGTCTGGCGGTCGAGGAAGAGTATGTTCTTTTGCTTTTTCTTTCTGATCATCTCCTTCGTATTGATTTTGCTTATTCTGACACATACATACACACACACTCTCTCTCTCTTTCTGTTTGCCTGGTGAGTTCGCTGATTGTTTGTGTTGCACCGTGTTTGTACCGTGCTGTGTTGTACACCCATGTGGGGGAGGGCAATGCCGCTAACGACATGGTGGATACAAGTGCAACTAACATATTCGCCGTGTTGCAGTGCGTTGGCGCTTCCGCGTTCTAGATTTCCTGAATGTTTTAGCGACTTTTTTTTCTTTCCTGAGGTGCTTGATCGCCGGGAGATCTTCTTGTTAAAAACCCGAAAATGTTCGGAAGGAGCAGCGGGTGGCGTAGCACTAAGGAAGTGTGGAAAACATGATATGTTTTGCTGTTTTGAGTTATATACAAGGTAATGACTCCTACTAGACTCTTGTGTCGTTGGGAAGAATGGACCTGGGTGTATTGGCCAGGTCCTCTTCACCACCAAAGGATGTTATGTCCTCGCTCTCTCGAGGATTGATGCTGTTCGCATACCCGTACATCTGCAGTGTTATTACCGAGTTGGAGCGTTGTACTGCCTTTCCACGGCTGTCGTCGAGCGCCTCACTCGCTGGCTTTGATCCTGAATTCGACGCTGAGTGGCAGCAGCCATTGCTATAGCCACTACAGGGCGATGCACGGCGAATTTGTTTCCGGAACAGGCGTGGTATAGACGGACAACATGCAACAATAATGACGCTTCCCAGTTCCGAGCTACTACACAGCAATCTTAGGTTTTGCTCGGAATGGTGAAGTTGAGAAAGAAAACGGGTACTCACCATAATATTGCAGTCTTTGTAAGCTGCCATGTCGTGTCCCTGTCCTGCACCAGGCGGAAACGATAATAGAGTCCAGTGCATGCAATGGCAATAGCGACGGCACCGACGGCAAACACGGCAAACACTTCAAACTTCTTCTTGACTTCAAGCTGCAGTCTCCAAATGGCCCAGGCCGGCACGCAAAACGCCTCGATATCCGATATGAGATTGACGATTCCAATCGCGATGATGGATTTGGTCCAGTCGATGCAGTGGCCGGGGATAGTGGGGTCTCGCAGCTTCTCGCGCGGCCAGCAGTTGAAGATGTACAGGAAGAGCAGGACTGTGTATGCGAGTGCGTTGACGGCCAGAGATGCGATGATGACCCAGTACACCGTGTCGCGAATCTGCGACGTGAAGATCTTCTTGAACTGCAGGAACACGGTGGCTTTTGCAAAGCCCCCGGCTATCGCATAGCAGATGAAGATGTTGCTGTACTGGTAGCTTCCCTCGAGAACCGTGGCAAAGTCGACGTCCCAGACGTGGCGTGCCATGCCCGTGTTGCTGTTGTACACGGTGAGCCCCGTCTGAACCGTGAAGGCGCACCAGGCGATGTATAAGAAGCCATCTTCCGGGTGGAAGCGGCGCGTACAAATGTTGATGCAGAGGCGGAGAAGGACAAAAGGGAAGACCAGGATCTGCACGACTAGCGAAGTGACAAAGACGGCAAACAGAAGAGTCGGCGGGTTCTCAAGGCCGGGGGTGATGCCCGGCGGTGGCGTACCCGCTGGAATGGTGCTGAGGTCCATGCGGTGCTCTTTGGGTATCGTGTTATGCAGATGGGGAATACACATGCAGGTTCAACGCGAGATGTCTCACACTGATAACCAAGATGGGCTGCCGTCCCTGAGTCAACTGCATCAAGGGTCTGGAGCGAGGCGGGCACACAATGGCAAGGACCTCCACGGCAAGGGATACCCATTTGAAAAAAAAACTTGCCACTTGCCATTGTCGCCGACTATCAACATGTAGCGGGCGAGTTTGAGCATAACGAACAGGATTAGGTCCTTGGAGGCCTGGGCCATGCGAGGGGATTCCCTTATGCGCGTCTGGCTGTAGTTTCGGCAACGGCATTTCCATCTAGTACTGCAATCACACTAATACGGCTTAAAGATTCGCCTTGCATAAGATGATCAAAGGTATTTCACACTTATCCTGCCGCTCAGGTAGCCAAGTCGTGGTCGGCTAGTTTAAAGTTTATCAAAGGGATAAGTATCCCTTGGACACGTGCGAGATCCATCTCGCATATCTCGCATTTCCCCCGCAACTACTTCTTAGATCTTTTGAGCTAGCAGCTGAAATAGACGTGTCGTTACGTATATCTTGTTTAGGCTGTTAGTTCTGTCTGCGGGTTCTGGGCCCCAGCCTCGCTTGGTAAGTGTATTCCTGACGTCATGACTAAGGTGCCGGTGAACAAACATACGACCTGAGGTGCTTCTGTAGCTGGTGTGATACTCTTAGAAGTTCTTTTAAGTCATCCTGTGAATATTCGTATTTTGTACGGTGTGCAGAGGTATGTTATACGAGAGTGCGTGTGCGTCTCACTGTTACAATTTACCAAAACGCTTCCAGATCTCTGCGTCAATACTTCATTCCCACTAGCCCATTCAAATTCCCCGGTCCCCTTCTGTTATTTGAATGGCCACGACGTGTTACTATATACATACTCGACGAGTTTGTGCAGTGCCACGAACCTGACTGTAGCAAGTATCACTTCAAACCATGGTGATCTGTATACTAGTTCCGTGACCCACCATCGACCATTCATTCCAAGAGAAATTCCGACAACTCAATATTACAACCTATGCTTTGGATTTGTGTATCAAACGCCCCATCACCCAGTACCTTTCCAATCCACCCCCTGTGCACAGATAATGCCTGCACCTATTCGCAGAATCAAAATATACCCACACTATGCCAAAAAAAATCAACTCTCCAAAAAAAAATTCAGTCAACTAACCTGAGTATTTGTTGTAAAACGTTGCACCAAGTATCATTACATACAAACCACGACACTTGAGAAAATTAAACTGTCAGCCTGAATGTCGGAGACGTGATACTTTCCCTTCCCACACCTGCTCGATCCATCAATGCATCATCCACCGTTCACCAAGAAGAAGAATCACCACCACACGTTCTCATTCCACACAATGATCTCCACAAAGAATACACCACATCACATTATCCCAACCAAACTCACAAAACAAAAATCCAAATCACGCATATACATACTACACGCGAATCCCCATATGAAGGTCGCTATTCCCGAATTTTTCGCATGTAATTGTAGTAGAATTTACTCAATATACTATCAAAGAGCTTCATTCCAAGTCCCATTGGAATGAAAAAATACCATCGAGTTCAAATCTTTCCCAATGGAAATCGTCTTCGCGTTGTGTAAATCCGCTCTCACCACACACACACACACACACACACAAAAACTCACTCCTACCCCAGCCACTCCCCTTTCTATTCAAACATGCACGTGTCCAAGAGACTAGCTACCCACAACAAAAAAACAGCTTGGACCGTGACAAGTTGACGTTGTACCGCTGTACTTGGGCTTGCATTGTCACGAATATAATTCACGTGACTGGGCTTGTTCATTTGGGGACTCGTGTCATCACTCTCTGTTTTGAGCGAATCCCAAAAACACAAAACAAAACGAGTGGGGGGGGGGGGGTTTTCATAATGTAGTTTTGGAGAGGAGAGTGTGATTTCTCGTAAAGATACATAGCAATCATGTAGTAGGGCTAGATACGTAGAGAAAAAAACGGTAATATTGCTAGTTTAGAGTTACTGGTGGTGGTGGTGTATCACTTCATCACACCCCAACATATATACTACAATCTAACCCACAAAGCAATGGTATCCTGGAATAAGGGATGGAGGTAGGGATATAACGCGTACTTCTTGTTAGATTCCGGGAGTGAAAGAGAAGTGGTACGGTGGTGTTGAGTCGCAGTCCCCCCTCCCCCCTTTTTTTTTAAATTGAGGTTAGTTTCGAAACTGTAGCTTCATACTTTCTATTCTCTCTAGATCCAGAAGACGGAGAGGCAAGAGAATTATTTCTAGGCCAGAAGAGGGCTGCAAATACGCTGTCCATGGTTGCGTAGACTGGAATGGTGTGTATGGATTGGAACAAAAGGGGGAGGCGGGATTCGGCTCGGTATGTCGGAGAGCTGCTGGACTACGTTTGTGTTTTCACATGGAGGATTGATTGTGAAGTAAAGTTGTGAGATAGCATTGAGTTTGGCTTGGTTGGAAAGTCGAATTGAACAAGGGAGATGGGGTATACGAAGTGCGTATGCACTTGTGGAAACGGATAGGTAGTACGAAGAAATAGTAGGTTGTCGAATCTGTTGATGTATTAAAACTCCGACATATCCACTTCGATTCGAGCCGAAATTCAAAATAGTAATATTGATCCGAGATACTCCATTTCCATTCGCGTGGAGACAAATGATATGATATTAAGCCCCCCCCCCGCCCGAGATTGGAGTCAAAGCAAAAAAAGTAAACTAGATAAGCTAGAGCTGCTCAGTAGTCTGGGAAATCATTGTCGACATCCTTCCTCCAAGCTTGCAGGCCGCCCTTGATATCGCCAATGAAGCGCTTGCCTCCTAGATCCAGGCCGAGCTTTTTCATCTTTTTGACCGTGACTTGCGAGTCGTTGCCGAGCCTGCAGATGACGAAAATCGGGCGCTCCGTCTGCTTGAGTTGTGTGACCCAACTACTCTCTTCATACATTGCACCGCCAGACCAGTCGCTGCCGGTTGGGCTGCGTGTAGCCGATACGATGGAAAAAGGCACATTCATACTGCCATCGATATTGCACAATTCGAACTGCACCTTTTCTCGTACGTCGACAAGAATGTGGCTGTCTCTCTTTGACACGGTGCCGGTGTGGGGGTTGACCCCTGTGCGTAGTCGTGCGTAATTCTGGGCGGATATGCGCTCCTCTGGTGAGAGTGGATCCATGTTCGGAAGCACACTGCCGCAGAACTGGACGTAGTCCAAGCTCCCCGACTCGAGTGCTTGTTTCGTGACTGTCGCATGTGCTGAACACGACGCGCACTTCGCCTTTCGACTTCGAAGACGTATGGAGCGAAACATGGGATTGGAATAGGCGGAGAAAATAAGGAGGCTGGGTGGGTCTGCTGACGCCTCAATGGGTGTTTTCTGGGTTATCACTTTGATGGCTTCCAGGGCTTGCAAAACACCCATGACACCAACGACTGGTCCTAGGATACCGCCGTCGCCGCAAGAGACAACAGATTCAGGAGGTGGGGGCTTTGGGAAAACGCAGCGGTAACAAGGGCCTCCATTGGGATCGCCTGGCGGTAATGGTGGGTTGTTGAGAACCATCATCTGCCCGTCGATTCGAAGGGCTGATGCTGAGACGAGCGTCTTGCCGAGGAGAACGCAAGTGTCCGATATTAAGTAGCGCGATGCTGGAGTGTCGGTGCAGTCCAGTATGACATCGTAGTCTTTGAAGGTAGAAATGGCCGTCTCAGGACTTAGCCGGAAGATGTGCGGAACCAATTTGACCTTGGGATTAAGTCTGGTCGGTGGTTAGCCAAGCACCTCGAGAGTTTTGCAAGTGTCGTGGGGCTGATAGGGAGACGCACGACTTCAATCCGACCATGGCGCTCTCGACCTTGGTCATACCAACTCTTGCGGTGAGATGTAGGATCTGACGATGTAAATTTGACTCTTCAACCACATCCCCATCGACCAGACCCAGAGTGCCCACGCCGGCCCCGACCAGGTACGCGGCAGCTGGACATCCCAGACCGCCGACCCCTACAATCAGTACACGCGCTTCCTTTAGGCGAAGCTGGCCTGCAACTTGTAAGTTCACTCTTGTGCACCATTGGATTACACTCACCCCGTAGCCCAATCTCGGGCATGATCAGCTGCCTCCCATACCTCTTGTATTCGTCCTTCTCTAGCGGCCGGTTCGGAGGATCCTCTGAGCTAGCCTGTTTTGCATCCTTTTCACTCTGCCCCAAGATGGCAAAGACTTCGGAACGGAAATTGTCGGGTACGCCGAAATTCATATCATGGTCCAGTTCGTTTGCTGGCTCTGTCATCAGTGATCTCTTCTGAGGGATGACTTTGGACGGTTGAGTTTGGCCATGCTCAGCTTCGGCCAGCTGCTGGCGCAGGTCCTTCAGTGTGGCTTCGCATGCCGCAATTTGCTTACGCAAGGAGCTAACAGCTGAAGTCATGTTGGTGTGGTTGGGAGATGCGCGCACGCCGCGACTTGAGGATGCGTGTAGCGTGCAGCTGTTGGCCCAAAGTGGGTCGGCGCAACGCTAGACCGAACCCGGACGAGATCTACGTGCACGGGCCTGCTCATGAACACAGGCATACCAAGTGAATAGTAGGAAGAGGTCAGGTTAAACGTTGCAGATATCTCGAGGGAACACATGGCAGTATGGGGCTAGCGCGCCTGGTATTTGCAACTAACATCATGCCATGGTGACACTTGCGCAAAGGAGGTGACGGACACGTTACAGACGTACGGATTTCTCATGTTGAGGTGCATTCGATAGGGCTGACGGCACAGCCTCTGGCGATGGCGACATCAGCCTCGATGACACACGCTCCATCCAGATCGATCACGATAGCCATCTCTAGGACGTATTGCTGTTGTAATCCTACGGCCAATGGTATGAAATGGAAACAGCAGTGTGTATCACACGCGTCTTTTTTGTCTCTTTGGGGTAATTTTACACTGGTCATAAGACATGATCGGTTACTTAGGCCCTCGAGCATGGTGACCACTTTTGCATGCAGAGTGATACTGACTGGGAAGATTTGGCCAGAACAGTGAGCAGAGGCAGCAGATGGGATTTAGTCTGTGGCCGTCTTCAACCAACGTACGCGTGCTGGGTCTTTCACTGGTAAGCGCCTGGCAGCCTTGGGCATCCGCTCCAGGTCATTCATCCCGACCGTGGGGTCTGACATGCCGATGGTAGACCAATGCAAGCCCGAAGATGAAGCAAGATGATAAATGCCCGGATTGGCCATGGTAGCACAGTACAGGTAAGAAGTGAGGTCGGTGATCGAGCTTACGAGACGAGAGGGCGGGCGCCCAGAGAGGGGTAGTTCGTTCCCGCGGGGCACGGCGGCTGGGCTGGGGGGGGGGCGAGGGGAGATCTCTTGTGACGGCGGCCGGGCGGTAGCAGCTGTCACCCTCACGCGTCACTCGAGCTTCCGTTTCTGACATATAAATCCCCCGGCCGGCCTGTCTGTCTGTCAGTCTGACGGCCGCGACTATTGGGGGCTGCTCGCTAACACTGCTGCCACTCTGGGCGCACCGCTTCTAGACCATGTGCCATCTGACGGCTAGACGTCCAAACCCAGCCCTTCACCCAACCCTGACCAGCGGAGGCGCCACCTAGACGCTCCCCCGCGCCTCGACAAGCCGGCCGGCAGGGCGCATTGTTACATCCACGGGGCCGGCGACCCTCATGTCGGCGACAGCAACCGCCTTCCTGGCCGGATGCGTGGGGCGTGCATACTTGGACACAGCAGGGGCCGTTCCAGGCATCGTGGATGCTGACAATGGGCCAAATCAGCGCCCCATGATATGCCATGGCGCCCTGCAGCATCTTGCTAAAGCACGGCTCGCCATAGCCTGCCCACTCGCTCGGTATCCATCTCCCGCGAACACTACCACTACTGCACTGCCCAAGCCCTCGGGTCGCCCGTCGACGTGCTTCGCCCACGTTTGCCATTCATTGGCGTGCTCCCCAGCAATCCATCTTCCAGCTGCTGGCCATCCAGCCCTATCACCACATTCAACATGAAACGCTGAACTTTTTCTTTTGTGGCGCGCCCGCCTGCATCAGCTGGCCTGCTGTCCAGGTACTCGTCCAATGCTGTCCGCCCCCTTAAACATTCGGCCGTCAGCACAAAGCAAAATGGCCATCCGCACAATGATATGCTCCACATGCACCCACACTGTCGAGGCGTGGGCTCGGCAGTTGAACACCCCCTCCCAGCCGTCTGTCTACCTATTCGTCCAAGCTGCCGTGCCCACGCATGCCAGTCTCCCCTCGCCGCCGCCATGGTCTCCGTCTGCGCGACGTGCAAAGGCCTGCAGAACCACCTCCACGGCCTGAAGGGCGCCCCGGACAGCGGCGCCGCATCCTTGGTCTGGCTCAGCACCAGGCTGCCAAGGCTGAGGGCAAGTGCCAGCTCCTGTCGTGCATGCGCCCTGCTCGTCAATGGCATCCTGTTGCATCGCGCCCGCCTTGCACGCCTCGGCCAGGACGAAGACGACGACGCAGTCCGCGTGACGGCCGAGTCGTTCAAGCCCCGGCCAGACACGAGCCTCCAGGGCCATCTCTCCGTCGAGCTGCGGTGGACGACGGCCGACGACCAGAACGACTGCCAAGACGACGATCATGACCACGCCGCCAGCCAGCCAGACCTCAAGCTCGAGTTCTTCACAGACGGAGGTATGCATCACCACCACGCCCCGCCACAGACACGCCCGCACCCGCCGCCCAGGCTGGCTGCCTCAGAAACATGCACGCTGACGCCCGCGCAGAAGGACAGACGCCCTTCTCTGCCATTGGAAGAGGACGGCAACTAGCAGAGAACCCACTGCAAAACCCTGGTCTAGCGACAGCACGCGGCTTGATCAACAACTGCTTGGAAAGCCACGCCACATGTAGCCGCAGAGGTAACTCCACAACGCTCCCCAAACGCATCCTAGACGTGTCGGCAGGCCAAGACCCCCACAGTCTGCGCCTGCACGAAAGTGACTATGTCCAAGATGAAAGGAGGTATCAGTACGGCGAGTATGTTGCCTTGAGCCATGTTTGGGGTACCGGCGACGGCATACCCAAAACGACCTTGGAAACGCTAGAGGCCCACAAGAAGAGCGTTCCATGGTCCACCCTACCGACACTGTACCAAGAAGCAATCTTTCTCACCCGAGCACTGGGTTTCCGATGGCTCTTCATCGACAGCCTATGTCTAGTGCAGGACGATGTCCACGAGAAGCTGGAGGATTCGCTCAAAATGGATGAGATTTTTGGAGACGCCTTCCTGACCATTGCTGCAACTTCCGCATCCGACAGCAGCAGCCAATCACTATTTCCTCACAAAACCCCGCCGTGCAAGATCCAAGCAGCCGATGGCAAAGGCACCCTGCATAAGGTTACCGTAAGAGAGCAACCCAGCCACTACAGCTTCAAAGCGCCTTTCAATGGCAACGCACATATGAATGAGTGTGAACTGCCCTTCAACGTTACCGAAGAGGCAAATGCGCACACGCCTCTCCTAATGCGCGCTTGGCCTTTTACCGAACGCCTCCTATCCACGCGAGTACTTCATTTCACAAAAAGCGAGATGATACTCGAATGCCGCGAAGGCTACCAGTGCGAGTGCGGCCGTATCGAGGACAGCACATTTGACTCGCGCCCTACTGATCAGCTCAAGCAAGAATTTGGCAAGCTGATTGCCGACACGCTGAACCGACCACAGCAAGCCAATGGAAACGGCAACGCCGGCCATAATCGGATGGATAGCGTCACCCATCAACTAGCCTCGACAAACCTCACAAATGGCGCACACCAAGAACTGCTGCGGAAGCGCGAGGAAGCGCTCCAACTCTGGTCTTGCATCATAACAGAATACACGGCACGGCACCTGACATACGACAGCGATCGCCTCATTGCAGTGGCAAGCATCGCGAAAGCACTCTCGCCAACATTGCAGTCAGGATATATCGCTGGACAGTGGACATTTAGTACCCTGGGTCTTCTATGGTATCCCAGCGATAGCTCACGCTGCCGACGTCCTCGACTCGCCCAAGGACAGATTGTACCAAGCTGGTCTTGGGCATCTGTTGAAGGCGCCCCCATCTTCTTCGACAATGCAAGCGCAATGGACCTCGCATGCAGGGCTTCGTTCGGCCCAAAGGGGAAACGCGCAAGTGCATGGTCGCCAATCATGGGCGAGCCGCTTGAGTTGTCTGGCGCCATGGCAACAGAAGTCACATTTCGCACATGCACGAAGCCCTCGTCACGGCAATCTTACATGCTGGCCAAGAATGGCATGGCAGTCGATTTCACGCCAGATGTTGTACCGCCCTGTGGCGAAGATGCGCTACAGGATGGAGAAACGCTCATCTGTGTCCTCGTCAGCATGACCTTTCGCTCCTCGATTGTCGGCATAGTGCTGAAGCCATCACCATCAGGCAACAACACATATTGCCGCGTTGGCCGCCTCGAATGCTACGAGTGCACGCCCGAAGGCATCGATCAGGAAATGAGCGAGGACGGCGAAGCGCTGTTTGAGCATTGGTTTCCCGAGATCCAGGATATGATGCAATTGGACAACTATCCCCAGCATACCTTTACTGTGATTTGAAGCCTGTCATTATTCCTTGGCAAGTGTCTTTTGAAAGGAGTTTGGAGAGATTGTTTGTATGAGGATGACGACAGTGTAGTAGCACCCATTTTTTTTCCTCTCTTCTTCTCTATATCATATCTATGCGTTCGATACCCTTTTCTCCTATCGATTCTCTTCTACTCTTTAGGATTTCGGGGGTTTTAACACCAAAAAAAGAGAGTCTTGATAGCTAGACACACCATCAATCAAAGCATGTATCTGGTAGTATGTATGCCTTCCCGTGCCACACACACACACACTAGCGTGACTAAGCCGCGCGCGCGCCCAGACTTCCTGATACGTATCCTACCTACTGAGTTTCAGCCGCAAGCTGCACCCAGACTTTATTGTTCTCCGCGGAGAATAGTGGAAAAACCAGAGCAACCACCTTGCTTCTATTACGTACGAAAGATACCGCAGCCAAGACATGGCGATTTTTCCCACCACGGTGTTCTGCGGAATGCCATGCATCATTTACGTTGGAAGTTTTACCACCACCACCACCACCCATCCACTTACTTACTACTGTTACTCCAACTCCGCACACAAGGGCGCACACACCCCCTTTCGCACACACACACACATATATACGCATAAGCAAGCCCCCCCCCCCCATGTTTCTTTTTCGTTTCTGATCCTAGACCGTGCTCTTACGTTTTATCCAACCTTGTCAATCAACCAACCAACCAACTAACCAACCAACTAACCAACCAATTACCTCACCCCTTCCTATCTCATACATCCATCCATCCATACATACACTCCATAGAGTTAACGTATTCCATCACCGAGCGGGCCACATCACCAAGTGTGCCACTTTTTCTTGGCATCACGAACTTTATATACAAAAACTTAGATTACTCTACACTAGCTATAGATGCTTTATATAACTTACTTATATCTAAAAGAGAATCTTCTTCTATATCTTTTTAGCACGTATAAGAGTTATAGCCTATCCTCCCACAGGTTCTATAGTGCCGTTAACCTAGTAGGGCCCTTTCTTAACTACCCTCACCACGTGCCTTCTTTAATATTGTTGTCAGATAACTGATAGAATCCGGGTGTGATCGAGCACCCGGATTCTGTGACTCGGGCCAATTAGAGCCGAGTGCCAAGAATTATACCTAGGCGAGGCTGATACTCAGCCTCGTACCTAAGACAGAAAAGCAATAGTAATAGCACTCATAAGGCTGCGCGCGTGCGCGCAGCTAGAGGACACAGAACAACTCAATACACTTAGTTTCTATACTTAAGTTTATCACAGTCTTTTATCACAGTAACCTAAAAACAAGTCCTTGATCAGAAACCCCTCACAGTCTGACAATTGTACAACTAGCAGAACTACTTTTAGCTACCTATAATGCCCCTACACTAAAGTCTAGTGTTCTACCTATCTAAATTTGCTTTCTTTTGCGCCCTTAGCGCTTTGTTACTGCTACTAATTACTCTTTAAGCTCTCTTACGCAGGCCTTTATAAGCACATTCTTATATAGCATCTCCTTAGCCTCTTTAATAAGCTTTAAAAAGCCTTCTTATATAGTAGTTAGCAATTGTACAAAAGACTCTCTTATAAGCTTTAATTATAACCTAAATTTATATAAATTATTTAGTGTTCTTAATATCTAGAGTATTTCTAGCTAAGCTTCTTATAGTAGAGTATAAAGGCATACGTTAAGGCGATTAATAACTCTCTACGCGTTAATAGGGACTAGCCTTACTGCCTTAAAGGCCTTCTTATAGTTATTAGACATAAACACGTTAAAAAACGCGTCTTAAAAGGCTAGAAAGAAGCGCTCCTTATTAATATACTAGATATAGTAGCGTGCTAAGTCTTATACGCGTTAAAAGTACTTCTACTTAAGAGGTAAAAAGCAGACAACGTTAAGTAGCTAAAGTATATGCAATAAATAAGTAGGTATTGTAAGAGGCTACGCCTAAAGTGTGTGTGATCGAGTATATCTATACGACTACCTAGACTTCAAGAAGCTTGAAGTCTTGTTACTGCCTTTTTGGCTATGGATGGCGTAAGTAGTCGTACGCTCGGCCCGTTGGGCCCGCCCATTACAATCTTTACTTAACAAGATTATTACTTGTTAGTCTATAGTAATACAAATTAGACTATTAATTAAACCTTTAGTTAAATCCTATAACTCTTTTCCACTAAGACATACCAGACACCTCCCACGGAGCTGATCCCACAAAGGCTCACTCGCCCTAACCCGGAACGAGATTAGAGAAGTATCAGCAATCCACCCCGTGTAACAAAATACTAGGTAGAGTAGTTTATTACTTATATAGATAAGCTTAGAACAGCCTTTAGTTAAGCAAAGGATTGTTAAAGAACTTAATAAGAGGATCTAGAGATTATTTGTTATGGGCGAGAGAGGCCTAACTAACGAGTATGCATTCACCTATTGTACAGAAGAAGAAAGATACAGAAAAGAACTATCTAGAGGGCCCTCCTTTTATAGTTGTTACTCGTACGAACGCTCAGACCTTTAGTTTTCCTCCTTACTTAAGCTTGTTCGTACGTAACGAACCACGTCATTTAGTCACGTGACTAAAGTCATGTGATTCACTGCCATTTGACCTGTAGGTCATGCCTCTCTGGCGTAGCCCTTTACAATACTCCCCTCCTTCACCTCGTCCAATATCACGTGCGTATTCCTTAGTCTTCTTTTCCTTTCTCTCCGTCCGTTTGCTATCACATGTTTGGCGTCTCGTACGGTTAAGGTAAAGGCAAATAGTGAAGGTGAGAGAGAGTTAGGCAACGGTGCTATATAGCAAACGCTGTCCGGCGAGCATAAATACTCTTCTTCCCCTGCCTACTGCTTGTTTCCTCTATCCCTTCAGCTTCAACTTTTCTCTTATTATAGTCACTTCC